TTTCAATATTTTAGCTCCAACGGTTCGAAATAAGTCGCATTAAAATCCATTCTACAGAGAACGGAAAATAGACAGATTTTTTTTGTGAAACCTTTCAGGAAAAATGACGTAATTCTTATGAACTGTGACAAGTCTACGTTCTTGGAAGTAAAAGCACGTTCATCGTTCTCTTCAGGAATATTCAGCACTATTCTAAAATTTACACCGCATATAACATAAAAAATTTTGGGTTATTTTGGATTCCCGAAAAAAAATCTAGAAAACCATTTATCCGATTCGAAAAAATCTTTGCCACAGGGTTTCAAGGTATTTACGGTTTTGGTCTCTCGTACAGGGTGTTCGAAATATATAGCTAGAAATTAAATATTTCTCGAATAGAAAATTTCTGGAACAATGAAGTTCTCGAAGAATGTTAAAGTAGGTAAGTACTAACAATTCAATACCGCAAAAGGTAAAGTATATTATTTAATAATTATTATTACCTGAGAAGATTGTCAGAAATTGAAAAGTTAAGATACACAGCCTTATACTTATTATGATATTAAAATAATAATATTTAATCGTATAATATTCAAAAATTACATCAAATTACATTAATTTTTATATTTCAGAATTGGGTAGAATATTGTAAAGTAATAAAATATTGAAATTTTATTCATTTCAGTCATTTATAAATTAACGTCGCGGCAATCCATTCTATAGATTTAATAAATGTCGACCCATTTTCTAAATATAACATTAAATTAACAATTCATCTCTAAATCATTTGTTAAATATTCATTTAACGAACAGCAGATACCTACAATTGGCAGTTCAAACGAAAATTGTCGCAGGTAATACACACTGTCCGGTCAATCATAAATGTGCCTCAGAAAGAGTAGAGCTACACAATCACAGTGTGCAATGTACAGGGCGGTCAACCAACAGAGAAAAAAATATTTGGCTAAAAAATATCCATTCGAACACATATTGTTTCGATATAGTCGAAATAAATGGTTTTGTTGAAATAAGTGTTTTTGTTGTGTTGTTTATTCAACGCTTGGTGTTATTGACTGAAAATATATTGTTGTTTTTTTTATTACCTAGGACAAATTCCTAATACCTCGTATTAATCTCCATCTGTCGCCCATGATTGGTACTAACCTCATTCATTTAGATTTCTGAGAGGTATTTTAAAGTGCGTTATCTTCAGTCCTACAACAACAAATATATATTTTATAATAGGTGCTTAAGTTAATTTCTTGATAAAAACTTAAATAAAAAATCGGAACAAATTATGAAATTTGCAGCTGTCACGAAAATTGTTTTAATTCAACGATATTATTTTTGGAATTTTCTTCTGTTATCCTGTACGATTCAACAGAACGAGAGATAGGAATATTAGCGTGTCCTATTTGTTAATCTCATGTTAACGAATATTATTTAAAAGTATTTAAATTTCGTACCCCAAAACCTATTAACTTTTCCAGGTTTTACTTGAATCTAATTTTATTGACAGATAATTTCTGCTTAAAGCGTTGTAACACGACTTATCAAAAGTGCCACAAATAACATATGTTAAAAGCTTATCCAGCCGCGATATGATACGGTATGAATTCCTGGTAAACCGACGTTGCCTATATTGATATTCTTTTTATTTGATTTGCAATGGCACGGCAAAAATTAACTGTAACGCATATGGATTACATATTTGATAACTGTTCATATAAAATAAATAAATTTTGGATATTTGCAGTTGCCAGTTTTGCCTAGTGAAACGTCTGATATATCCATTGTCATATCCATAGATATGATAGTTTTGCTTTTTCGGTATATATATATATATATATATATTCTCACGTATTGATTCACGGATGGAAAAATGTGATGACACTATATTCCGGGATATCATCCGTTCGCTCGTTGAACTCCGACTGGAATCCTGCATCCGACTGGAATCCTGCAAATCTTGCATCCGACTGGAATCCTGCAGACGTTTCGCCAAAATCTCACTTGGCATCTTCAATGCTCGCGTTCCGAAAACACTTCGAACACTGGGTTTCGAAGTGTTTTCGGAACGCGAGCATTGAAGATGCCAAGTGAGATTTTGGCGAAACGTCTGCAGGATTCCAGTCGGATGCAAGATTTGCAGGATTCCAGTCGGATGCAGGATTCCAGTCGGAGTTCAACGAGCGAACGGATGATATCCCGGAATATAGTGTCATCATATATATATATATATATATATATATATATATATATATATATATATATATATATATATATATATTGGATGTAGTTTCTTGGACCGTCGCGTGTATATTTACTTCAATTTCTCTTGGGTATTCGGTCTCTCGAGTTTGAGAAGGGCCATCCGAGATTTAAAATCTCGTTTTTAGCCAATGACATTTAACATGCACTAATTTTCCATGACTTGCTTAGTTTTTAAAATACAGGGCCATTTTGGAAATCTGAAGTTTTGGGGCACCCCTCGTATCTCGGGTATCCTATGAATTGTCTGAAAAGTGAAAATCGCATCCGATATATATATATATATATATATATATATATATATATATATATATATATATATATTCTCACGTATTGATTCACGGATGGAAAAATGTGATGACACTATATTCCGGGATATCATCCGTTCGCTCGTTGAACTCCGACTGGAATCCTGCAAATCCTGCATCCAACTGGAATCCTGCAGACCTTTCGCCAAAATCTCACTTGGCATCTTCAATGCTCGCGCTCCGAGTGTTCGAAGTGTTTTCGGAGCGCGAGCATTGAAGATGCCAAGTGAGATTTTGGCGAAACGTCTGCAGGGTTCCAGTCGGATGCAGGATATATATATATATATATATATATATATATATATATATATATATATATATATATATATATATATATATATATATATATATATATATATATATATATATATATATATATATATATATATATATATATATATATATATAAAATAATGGATAATGCGAGTTATCACAGTCGTCAACCATATAAGGTTCCATTAGGTCACAAAGTTCTTCTCCCACTTTAAATACTAGTGTTGTAGATTTAATTTTAAAAAATGTGTTAATGAGAAACCCCCGGATATTTAGAAAAATCCGGTTAAACATGTAGAAAATTCCTATAACACAGATCGTTTTATTACCTTCAATAACACCAAACCGTTTATGTATGAAAGCACTATACTATTAAATCCCGGCCAAGAAAAGGTGGTGATTAATGATAAGAGTTTGGAGATTGAGTTTCTTGCACCCGCTTTTCCACCTCCAGCTGGTTAAGTTAAGCGACTATAGTTTGGAAAGGCGATTATAAGACAAAAATAATTATGAATAAATCTACGGCAAGTCGTTAGCGCAAACACCCTTAATATGTGATAACGAAAAATATTTATAAAACAAGAACCTGGCGTGTTGTAGATCCATAATTTCAGATTTCGTGTTGGTTTGGTTTATGAGGTGAAGAATGGCACTTCCATGTCCGCCGCGATAACAGGAAATGTAACGTTTAGATTTTACGTAAAAAACTATGTTTAGCATGGCTTATTTAGAATTTTTCAAAGTAGCTAGGCCTCGATCGGTTACCGACTATTATATTTGACGCCACCATTGAACATTAGATATGGTTCTGTAAGTAATTTAGATTTTATTAATTTAGTGTGGATAGATATCAATAATCAATAATATTGGAAATATACCTAAATGACATCTGAGCGTGGTTCACCTGAAAATGCACTTACCAAATTTCACAAAGATATAGTAGAAACGTTTCTTAGGAAATATATAAAAAAATGTTCTTTTATATGATATTTTTTCGATAAAATAATAATATTAACAATAATAATAATAAGAGTCTTTATTGAGATATTCTCAATTCTGAAATTTTTTGACAAAATTAATTAATACCAATACGAACTAATATACTTACATACTTACGTCTCAAAAGGCCAAATCTAGCTTAAGAGACATTAACCATTTTTCGAATGTTACAATAATAATAAAGCAACGAGCTATAATAATAGGAGTGGGAGAATAATAAATAATATTTCGGACAAAGGCTTTCCAACAAATAGACCTTAATTTTTCTCAGAAATACTATAATTGAGGTAGATTTAAAATATTTATCAGAATTACTATAAAGTTTAATTACATTATAGCTAAAACAGCGTTCAAATATACAAGAATTTAATATTAAGCCATTTCAACTTAAATATTTTTTCTGATATACGATCAAATTTCGGAGACAATAAACAAATCGTGCACTACTGACCCGATTTTTTTCTAATCTGGTTTTATAGGCAACGGTTAACAGTGAATAGTACAATAGAAGATAGTATACAACTTTAGAAAGGATGTATGCCTCCGAGAGTGTACTTCAAAATTCATTCAATTTGCGAATAGAGTTTTGAGGAATATATAAACCTTTTCAGATAGAGAAAAAATGTAATCACTATATCTCACTAGCACATCTAAGATTTCGATTTATTCGGAAATTTTGGATTTTCATTTTCCAATTGAACTTTAATATAATCACATATGAAATCGTAGCTTCCAAGATTGTGTTTTTTAACTAAATTAACTCAAAAATTACCCCTTTCATTGCCATTAAAGAACTTCTTATATTTACAAAGTTCGCGTAGCTATTTTTCAATAATAACTTTGTTCTTCCAAGTTGCGATCGAGACAAAGGCTCGGATAGTAAATGAATTGTACAGAGGTTTTCAGGTAAGCGAATAATCGCGCAAAAATGTAAAATACTCGCCCGCTCTATGTCATCCCTCCGAATAAAGAGACCGCGGTTTTTCAAGACTCGCAGCGTATGGTCTATTGATCGTCCGTTCTCTGTCTCTCTTCCCATTCCACACTCCCAAATTCATTCACAAAATCATTTCTATATCTGTCGAATATAAGACGGCCGTATTTTTTTTTAATAAATGAGATTCGCGCCTCTGGATTATTAATTTGGTGTCAGCTTTGGGGTTTACTTACGTCGTCGGGACGAAGAACCGCGTACGTCCGCCGATGAGAAAATCGACCGTAAAGTTAACGTTTATACAACAGTGCTTCCGCGATTTTCGACGAAAATTGATGTCGTGCCTTCCGCGTTACCGTAAATCGACATAGTTCGAACATCACAAGAACCATAGATAGGCTGCTGACATACCCGTCGTATATTCGTCGCCAGACTAAGTGTGGAGGCGGTTTGACGTCACTGGCATGCGCTCGTGGTGGATGCGTCGACGCCATGACGACGACGTTGGATCCGACCCCGCGACGCTGCCCCTACGTGATCGACGAGGATTTTTCGGGCGCGGACAACGCGCACTATCGTACACTATCATTTATATTTTGACAACTACCCAAAGAGTTTATTATATACAGGGTGTTTCAAAACAAATGAAAAATCCTAAGCGGGCGATTCCTTGCTTAAAAAAAGGGAAGTTTGTTATTTATACTATGGGTCAAAAGTCAATCATTACAAATAACGTGTATTTTTCTATTTAATTGATAAAATAATAAAATATTAGGGATTTATTACAATTATAAAAACAGTTTCTGCTTATTTTCTATTACCTTTTTAACTAAATTTAAACAAAAAACGTATCCATATTTTTTTTATAACGAAACTTGTACTTCTATATCATCTAATATTGTCGCTTTATTTGACGTTGTTCGGGTTCAAAAATGTTAGTTTTTAATTATTTTCTAAATACAATTGTTTGGATGATAACTGACAAATAAACTTAATTATTTTTCTAAATTATATGTCTTTAATTTCTTTTTTTTTATTTAAAAATTTTATGAAAAAAAATAATGAAGAAAATTTGGGTAGACCAATTCAATCCTATTAATTAATTTGAAAAAAGATGCAGAAGTGTTTTTATAATACCATAACATTTTTCCGCCATATTTGTAGCGCGATATCTTCCTAATGGTTGGCGTTTTTATAGCTAACTACCCTTTTTTAAATAAGGAATCGCCCGTTACTTTTTTCGCATTTGTTTTGAAACATCCTGAATATAGCCAAGTCCAGTTTTATCATGCAGGTCCAAAGGTCGCTAACTATTTGAATCAAATCACAAAACACAGAGACTATCAAAATGTGGTCCAACTACAAATGTGCCGGAAGAGATGAACAATTGTGTTTATTATTTTAGTGTGGTAAACGGCATTTGAGTTACGAGTTTAATAAACGAGTGACGTAAAAACTTTACCAAAATTGTTGCAAACTATACTTTTTCTACGACCGTTAGCTTTTGGGTACATCTTTGCAAAACAACATGAATGTATTGACTTACATGACGGTCAGAATTAACAAACGTCAAAATTCAAGGCGTGCCGTAATATCTCCGAAAACATCCGATTGCTCCCAGCCCCGCGCGGTAATATCCCGAGCGGCTCGAATCCGTGGGACAAGAAACTCTCATGGTAAAGTGACGCTTCCCGCACGCTAGGTTGGGGTATAATGTAAGGTAAAGTAAATTTAAGTTATTTTACAGAAGGGAGTAGAAAAATTATATTACAAGGGGTGTTAAAAAGTTTCAAAAAAAAAACTTATATTAATGGCTTTCGATAATTAATTAATAATCAATTGAATGTTATTTTATTGGCAACAATTGTAAACAGTCCAATTTATTTTAGAAACTTTTTAAATTCACTGGTATTTAATCAGGATAATTATTTAAAAAAAAATGAAACTTTGTCAGAAAGTCTCGAGGAAGCAAGGTATTTGATAGGTTTTGATTTTGATATTTTTTTTTGTTTTGTAGATCTCTGAAAAACGAGGCGTAAACGATATTTCAAACACCCTGCACTGAAACATTACAAAAATTGGTATAGCTGGGTCCTAAGTACTCCTGAATTCGTTGCCAATAATTTTTTTTAAATCCCTAATAGTACTTCTGACTTGTCTCTCTTTTGTTAAATAGTCTCAATTGGTGAAAACACCTTTAGCAGCCCAAACGTGGAAATACCTACAATTTTGCAACCCTTAATAGAAGGCATCAATGTTGGCCTCCTAGCGGAACATCCTAACGCTTGACTGCACTCCACTCCATCACGGTTGAACGATATAGTCTACTATATAAGCCTCGAAGTGTTAGAATTAAAATTAGCCTGCACTTGAAAACGGTTCGTGAAACATCTACCCGAAATTTGTGTAAACAAAAAATAAATACATTGGAAGTTCGACAACATTTTAATATTTCGACTGAATTATTGTCTACCACCTTCAAGCAACGGTTCAAAACTAAATAGCTATTTCAATTTTTACTGACAATTCCGAGCATTTAACCTACTTGAAAGATCTTTCAGTGTTATGGTATGAAATACACAGTTCTTCTCAGGATGAAATACATTCTTGTAAATTTAAACGCTGCTTTACCTATAACGAGATTAAAGTTTACAATAATTATAATAAATATTCCGAATTCATCTGTTAGAATCCAGCAAAATAAAAATAAGATCCATCTGTTGGAATTACAAAAGTTTCTGTACTAAATAAATTATTATGCTACCAACAATGAAATTTGGACTCTTATTATTACTATATTTACTTTATTATTATTGTAAAATTTGAAAAATAGTTAATGTTTAGTAACTGACATCAAGATCTTAAGCCCGACTTCGCATTTTAAGAGGTAAGTATGTAGTTATATTAGTTTGCCTTTTATTCTTAAAATATCTCAATAAAGACTATTATTATTATTATTAATGGAGGGGGATAAGCAAAAACTTTTTTATATAAAAACTTTGTGGCGTGTTCTCGTCTGGACTTATGTACCAACAAACACAAATGTTAATAAATATAAAAAAAATCAGCCACTTAACTTTTTTAAATGGAACACCCCGTATATTTTTATTTACGATGGAAATCATTTGAATGCAATTTAAAAGCATTTAGTAATCGTAATTGTTATTGCCTCGAAAAACAAAACATTGTTTGCAAGTTTTGATGGCACGCTGATAGATATCAAACGACGATAGTGCGGTAAACGGCATTTGACTCACGAGTTTATTTGACACGAGCGGAGCGAGTTTTTAATAAACGAGTGAGTTAAAAGGTTTACCGAACATGTTACATACTATACTTTTTCTACGACTGTTAGTTTTTGAGTACATTTTCGCAAAACAACACAAATACATTCACTGACATGACCGTCAGAATTGACAAACGTCAAAATTTAAAGCGTGGGAAATATCTCCGAAAACATAAGATCGCTCCAAAATCCGTGCGGTAAAATCCCGAATGTGCGAAATGGCTCGGATTCGTGGGAAACAAAACTGACGTGGTAAAGTGACGCTTCCCGCACGCTAGATCGGTGCATCATTAGGTATTTTACAGACGGGAGTAGAAAAATTATATTTTCTAGAAACACGATTTATATTGGTTATCCGACCAAAAATATTTTGAAAAAATTTAAGTCTTTGCGGATGCCACTCAAGTTTGTAATTATTTTGTCCTTGACAATTACAAATAATTTTAAGGCAGGGAAAAATGTCCATTTTTTGGAGAAAAATATGGAAAGTAAAGCGACATTCAAATGGAAGTTTATGAAATAGAAGAGTGATTCAGGCTACTGAAGGTGCCAAACGTTACTAAGAAAATAAAATTAGTTGAAATTATTTAATATTGAGTGAAAACACCAAATAAAATGAAGAAATATGAAAGAAATTGTTTTCTTTCTTTTCATCACGCGTCCTCCCAATTTTTCAATTTTGATTTTTTTATGGACGATTTATGCAAAATAAGATATACAAAATACAGTCCGAACCTGTATTAAATGTCAAATTAAAAAATGCTTAATTGTGAAAATTTTAAATTCGGAAAAATAAAGAAAAAGTGCCACCATTGCATTAGAAAACTAAATATTATTCTAAGCATCACGTTAAAAAATAATTCGTTCTTTTCAAATGAAAAAGTTTTATTGTTTCTTTAAAGCAATACTAAATGATTTTATAACAGATTACTTCTAAACTCTAATTCTAAAAATCCTTAAGAGGTGCTGGAAAGTGGTTTATTTTTATAAGTATATTCTTCCACTTTTTTTAGTAGACCTGAATTTTCATTTCATTATGGTATGTGCGACGATACAGATGGATATTCATTAAAATAGTATATATCGACAATTAAATCAAATGAACAAAGGTCTGGCCGTTAATTTACAACAATGGTACCTATCTCTCAACGTTTATCCCCCAACCGCCGAAAACACGGCAATATCGATTATTTAACCCGTCTCAAGGGTAGTAGTCTAAAATCCTTGAACTCCACTGAATGGACACGGGATCCCATTCAGTAGACCAGCGGATCAGGTCCATATATCCATGGCAGCGCTTGTAATTGGCCCACGTCACATGTAGGTACACCAATCCATTGATTCCTTACGAATTCGAAAATAAAGCAGATTTAACGTGGAAATGTCTAAATGTCTTTGCAAATCCACAAGGAACGAGTTTTTTAAAAACGTTTGCCACGCATCTGTAACGTTTATTATAATTAAAATAATAATAATAAGGCTACTTTTACATGTTTGCTTCCCAACAGAGGTTAGATCAAATTTTTGTACAATGGTAAATAGTGTGTTAATAATCATGTCTAATTTTTATTCTTATTCTTTTCTTTTTAACCCGTCAACCCGCAATCGCATTTGACGTCGACGTTTGTTAAGCCAAACTGACCAAAGCAATGGGTTTCCGCGCAAGGACGCTAAGCCAAAAGAGGTTAGTAAATAGTTAACATAGCTGTGTTCACGAGCCCGACATAGAGGAAGTATGACGTAGTATCTCATCTCTTTGCAAAGATTTAACCATAGGTACAGTTTTCTAAGTAATAGAAGTTGTCCTTACAAGTATTACCTTCTTAGTTATACATCAGCATCAGTCCAGCATCAAAAGTCTAATTGTATGGTCTACTACAAAAAAAAACGTATGAAACTTGCTTCGAATTTGTGACGTCACTGCTTGCGCAATACAAACTGTAACCATCCACCTTAACTTATTATGCTTTCAATATTGTTGTTGTGGCAATAAATTTGGTTTGAAAGACAATTTTCTTTTTACAAAACAACATTACTATCAAATCATTGAATTGTGTGCAGGAGTAGAGTGACACTTCCGAGCTTTGGCTTAAGTTAATTATACGATTCACAAACACTGTTGGGCCCGACTACTAAGATCATTTGCCCATTGCCGACTTCCGTCGAGGATTTTCGCTTATGGTCAATGACCAACACATACGAAGAAAAAAATAACCAAAATTTGCTCAGCTAGCAAAGAACAGTTTTGACCGATACCATAAAAAACCGCCATCCCCCCCCTTCGACCGGGGACCATTCGGGCCCATCCGGCCTCCATATCGGCGTGAACGGTTAAAACAACGGGGCCGGCGGAACTTTTACACTTAAAACAAACACCAAACACTGCCTAAACAGAGTCACACAAATTGAAGACCGATACCAAAGATTTTTCGAACGAATACAGTGGATTCTGCTAGGAGCGAACGGTGGTTAAACCGCCGCGTGCAATGCTGCACCACAGAATCGACCTTTGGCTTTTATCCTCTTTGTGTTAATCGTATGAGCTTCTGTTCCAACAAATATATACTGTTCTCAGAGACAATTAATTCAACTTACCAAAATGACTTATTATGTATACTATGTTGTAATTTTTCGGTGGTTTTTGGGAAGTTACTAGAAAAGCATTATTTTTAATAAATTTCGAAAAAAAGCTGCATTTGGCGGACGTAGCGAATTGCAGGTTATTTGAAATCAGAAACTTACTATTAGAAATTCTCTTTTTAGCACCTTTATTTGGTAATTTTGGTATCAGTAGCCTTATATTTTTATCTCCATGAATTTTCAGATAACTTATATACATATATATATAATACCTGTATTATAACCTGTCCGTCTTTTTAATTTCGTGCTGTATTTAAACATTTTATTTGATCCAATTGTAATTTATAGGTAAAATGGAAAAACCAAGCTCAGGAGATCAATTCAATCTTAAGTGGAACAATCACATGGCAAATTTCATCCAGATTTTCATTGAACATCAAAATCAGGAATCCCTAGTTGATGTTACCCTGTCATGTGAAGGCCAATATATTAAAGCTCACAAATTAATACTGGCAGCATGCAGCGATTATTTCCAAAGTGTCTTCCAAATTCATAGCAATGTTACGCAGCCATTTATTTTATTGAATGGAATTCGGTTTCGAGACCTTAAATACATTTTGCACTTTATGTATCATGGTGAAGTTAAGGTTTTGGATAAAGATCTTCCAAATGTTTTGGCTCTAGGACAGAGCCTGCAAATAAAAGGTTTGATATTATAGCAATATATTTCTACTATTTATAACCTTGATTTTTTTTAAGGTCTGTGTTCGGTTAAACTAAAAGATATGCCAGATCATGAGTCACCTCGTCCTAATATAAATCAGTCTGCTAGTAATATGGAAATAGAATCAAGACCTCCAAGTAATTTGTTACCTACAGAAGTACCTAAAACCTACTTGCCTGATCAGAGAAATGATCTTAACCAAGATATAGATGGTAAATCCACTAAACTTTCATCTTTTCCTGCTCCAGTGGTACGGAATTCTACACAGACAGGTCCAAACAACCAGCACACAAATGAAATCATATCAGATTTACATCCACCACTTAAAAAAAGAAAAAATCTAACTGAGGTGAGTTTAATATAGGATTTTTTGCCTTTATATATTTTTTCACTATAAGTGTACTATTAGAACACAAGTGCACCAAGTATAAAGCTGGATAACCATCCAGAAGCTGTTGACTATAAACCCAGAAGTCCATTCATGATTTTTGCCAAAGATTGGAGACCAAAATTGGCTGCAGAATATCCAGGTTAGTGGTCTATCAATCATTATGTGATAAATGTTATCGAAATTGTAGACAAAAGCAACAAAGAAATTTCAATTAAATTGGGAAATATTTGGAAAGCTCTGACACCAGAAACGAAAAAGGCATACTATACCACAGCCAAGAAAACTGAAAAACATAAACAAAAATATACAGAGTGAGTGAAAATTACATATACAAATAATTACTTATATCAAAAATTCAGTGTTGATCTATTATGCCTTAGAAGAATTTACAAATTAAGTAGCAAAGAAATCCTTTGTTTCAGTTGCACGTTCATTGGTGAGGATGTAAAAAAATTAAAAAGTGATGCCTACAGCGGAAATGTAAGTTATATATAGGTTAAAATTAATAAAAGTAATGAAATTGACAATATAACATTTAATTTGTAATTGGCTTAATGTTTGCCTCATATATTTTTTAGAACTCGCCTGTAGACCCATTAATGATGATTCAAGTGGATGAAGAATCGATATTGCTATCTGAAGATGAATAAATGGAACCTTCTTTTGAAAAAGTTTTGTCCATAAAGTCTACCATAATAAGTGTGCAAAAATTAACATTGTTATTAAACAAATGAGACGTTTAAGATTACTTTAATTATAAAATTCGGAATTTGCCAATGCCTTGAGTATAGTAAATGAATTCTGTGGTATCCTTACATTGTGTTCTCATTAACTCGGAAAAAGTGTTAAAGCCTCACACCAGTGCTTTTGTTTAATAACACTGTATTTGCTCTAAATTCTGGCGCCTACCCATTTTTGTACATTTTTAGAACCTCATATTAAGGTTAAGATGATTTTAATGTAGTATAAAAACAATTCTAAAGCATTTCAGAAGTTAATTAATCTTTAAGAAAATATTTGAAATAAATGTATGGTATTGTGTGGATTTTTTTTTAATGAAAATAACTGACCCATCGCTCTCCTAATATTCAAATAAAATAGTACAGTTTCTGAAACTGCCGTTTGCTTCTAACAAAGTAATGGCACTATTGATTTGTGACAATAAAGCTACTTGGTTGAATGTATAACACTTAAAGTCGCTTACGACAGATGGCGACAATGATTAGAACCATTTATTCTAAGAAATGGAATTCGTCCAACCAAATTTGCTTCGGAACGCAAATAAAAAAAGCTCAGACATGTCATGGAATAAATGACAAAGGTGTAATTTTACATTAAATTAAATTTTATCGCAAACGATAAATAATACTACGCGCCTTTCACAACAGATGGCGACAGTGATTACAGTAATATATGCTAAAAAGCTGAATTCATCCAGTCAAATTTGCTTTGCAATTCAAATAAAACCTCAAAAGGGCTAAATAGTAAATTGGAAACGAATAAATTTCGCTTTCATTCAAATTTTATCTCGCAAAATCCAAGTAGTGCTTTTCACAGTTTACGACAGGTGTCACTAGTGGTTCAAATAGATTTATCATCGCTTTAGAATTTGGATACGGCGATGAGTTCTCCCTCTGTACATCTTCATTCCACAAAAAGATACCCCCAAAATTTATTTTCTTGATTTGTTTCCTTTTTTAAGCATAGACGGGCACAATTTCTAATTAATACTATGGTGCTAGTAGTTCGTATTTTTTATTATTTATTTTTTTTTATTTGTTTTTATTTATTTATTATGGGACTAGCGAACTTGCGAATAGGCAAGTTCTCGCAGAAAAATCGCAGCATATGAAATATATAAATAATTTATATTGGTGCATGACTATGGAAGTTAAATTCCCAACTTTTGCAGTCTATCCAAATTTTATATTTATGATAAACTAATTATTTGATAAGCCACTTTATTATATAAACGTTCCAGTGTTTTGTACTGTAGCTAATTCTTGGGAAAATCGGCTGTCAAACATTAATGCAGTTATTAAATCCTATAAACTAGAAAAATAAACAATTTGGATTTGGTTTTCCGTTTATTTATCTGAATCTCTACCAAATACACAAAATCCATAGATGCAACCACAGTCCTAAATATAACACAAGATTTCTAATGGATTTCATATAGAGTAGATTTGCTTTGTATTTCTCAGTTTTCAAACAGAATGTGCGGATTGTCCAGTTCGCCCATTCGTTAAATTCAAAACTTTTGCTGATCAGTGATGAGATCAATCAAACTATTTACAGGATGGTGTTTTATATTTTGCATTTACTTTTATATATAAAAAGAAAAAAAATAATACAAAAGCGTGTTGCATCTTTATATTTTTTTAATTAATTTTAATATTAAACGTTATTTAATGACTAGCACAAAATGAATAACCTTTTTGGTTCTATGTGATTTTAAGATGTACAATGGGAAAACCAAATTTGCAGCTGTGGCGTACTTATCACTAAATGAATCCATAAAATAAAAAAACACATGCATTTAATAAGAACGATTTTTGCGCAATATATTAATTTCGACTTTGCACAATAAGCAAATAATTAAAACTACTTATTTTTTAATTGTAAATCGTTTCTTTTGTTGTTCATGCTAGCGTTAAATTGCATGCTGCATTAAATTATTAGGTCGGTGAATAGCAATTGAATAATCAAGCCATTTCGTTGTGTAATTAGTTTGTTCAATGCATTTTATATTTTAAAAGTATATATAACATAACGCGACTCGTCAAATTTTTTAAATTTTCTGATACAACAAACGCTATGAAAACCTGACCTTGGATGGTAATAATTATTGCAATTGCCATCTCAAAAATGTATCGATTTATCAATAACATCTTATTCGAGACGAATTTCTTTAAACTAGATTTTTAAAAACGTCGGTGGCCTTTAACGCAAGTCATAGAAAAAAAGCACTTTCAATTGTTTGAAATTAATTGTAATGTTGAATGTATTAGCAGTTATGTTGATATTAATATAAGGTACTTTCAATTTGGTCGAAATACACTTTCTTAATAATATAGTTTGTTATGTTTCTATTTAAGTAACATAATTTTCACATAAAAAACACAATTTTTCATTTATAGTCAAGATAAATTCAACATATTTATGCGTGTGGGAAGGGCGATTAAAGCTGACCACACTTCTCAGCAGTCCATCACCACAGGATCACAAAGCCAGCTGTTGTATTTTATTTGTAATAATTGTCCTAGACATTAAGGGAAGTTTTTTGTAAAAACAAAACCACTGTCGAGTTTTTCGCATAAAAAGTAATGCATTTTTAGGTTAAACTGACGACATACATTTTTATGCTTGTGTGCAAAATATAGTCCATTATACGAAAATTATCTAAAATTAAAAGGGTAATGCGCCACCAAAATAATTGTGCCTAGTTTCGCCTTAAGTCGTCAAAGTATACTGCCGATACTGCCATCCGACGGAAATTTATTGCGCATTTATTGCTTAAGTAAAGTTTAATCTAATTTAATATATTACAGACATACATTTTTGCCTAGTAACTAATAAGTATCAAACAACATAAACTGCATATTTTAACAGACTGAAAGAAAAAATTCTCACCAACTTATCTTCTATAATTACAAAACATTCATTGTGGCAAAACCTCAATAGAAGCAATGCACTAAATCAAAAATGACTAATAAGTGATTTTTATAAGTTTTGGATTTTGTTTCATTTCTGTATGATTTTTATGTTCATGTATTAAGTAATTTTTAATAATTAATATCACATTAATAATAAAGTTGTATCTTAAACGTAGGTTCCGTGTTTATTTAATCCAAATAGTCCCCAACGAAAACACCATATATTATAACATGCGGTACTAATAATATTTTAGATGTCATTTTCTTACTGCACAGCATTTATTAACACATACTTTCTTTAAGTTTAGAAACAAAACACACTTACATTCATAAGAAATAATGTATGTGTCAAAAACATTTTTTTAATTGTATTGTAGTAAATTTTCTATTGCAGTGCAGTACAGGTGTATGTAAATAATTTTGTAAAGCGTTAGGCGATACCCAAACAATATCTGTAATGTCTGAAGATAGTAAACTTACAAAAATATAAACACTTCGAGGTACTTTTTTGCTTACTAACTCGAAATTTCTTCTTATTGGACCTCGGACAAGCGGATAAGTATGGTACCGCAAAATACCGCTACATTTTCAGACTGTAACCTCGGAGCCTATACTTTTGTTCACAACATAAAATTTGTGCTTCTGACCAAATATACCCCAAAGTACGGCAATGTTCTCTATCACTAAATTAAATGGCATAACGACCACCGCACCAAACATACACAAAAAAAACCTTGCCAAACCGAACCTATATACGTTAAACGATTTTATTACTCCAAATATGAACATATAAATGTTAACGGCACCTATAAACGCTACCGCGAAATCGACCAATGGCGGACACGGTATCGGAAACTTGGAGGCTAGAAATATGTTCGATGTAGACAACGGCAGAGTCACCCACGAGTAACAGGCGCAACTCAACAGTAATTTATTTCTCAACGGAATGGATCGCGAATGAACGACTAGTAGGATACCCTGGATCCACCGCTTGCGCTGCTGGATAAAGTCCCACAATGTAAAAGGCGACTTTTCCCACATGTCGCCTTCAATAAATGTAAAACTATAGCCCATACTGTAAGCTTTCATGGCGAAAAAACAGTCCTCGGCGATCGACCCATCCAATCCGTTGTCGAACGAAACATCCTTCTCAGCTCCAAGCTGCGAAACAAAAAACTGAGTATAGTCAAAATCGAGACAATACGGTTTGTTATTTTTAGTGTACAAAATTTTTGAATTATAAGCGAGTTGATTAAATCGCATTTTATAAGCTGTATTTGGATTTGGATATACATTATTTTTTTATTTATTTTTCTGTTTGTGAAATAATTTTTTTTAAGGTGTCATCAGAAACTGATTTGTATTTTTTGTAATTTTTCACCATTTCAAAAAGCGTCGAATTTAAAGATCCCAGGTTTCTTCTTTGATGTTGTCGACTTTGCGTTTTAAAGAGTTGAATTAAGTTTCAGGTCGAATACTGTAATTATAACTCTAAATATCAGCAAGTATTATTAAAAAACAAAAGTGAAACCGAATAAAAAATAAGCGCCCAAATCAGGTTTTTCATTTTTTCCAGAAACCTATGATATTCGATTTCTCGCGTTTCGCTTTAAGAATTAGTTATTCGTAATATCGTACACCTAAACTATTAGGCAATACATACTTTTAAAACGCGCCAAACTTAAAACACTGCTTATAAACCTATTTTTAAACTTTTAAAAATACTACACTTTACTCATTTTAAAATGATGAAAAAATTATAAAATTTTCAATTATTTTTCTAAAATCAAACTATAACGAAAACTACTTCCAATGAGCATATCAATCTCAATGTTCAATGGCACATACATTCGAATACTCACCAGAAGGATCAATATAAACGAAATAACTTCTAAAAAACTTTTTATAAAATGAAAATTTGAACCTTGGGATTGTCTAGTTTTCTTTATTTGGGTTAAGCGTTTTTTCAAAATCCCACTGGCCCAATTTTATGACCGATCACTGCATTTTACAAAATGTCTTCACGCGTTGGCTGAGTCTTTACTATTTTGTAATATATTCAGTAATATTTGGCCGAATGCTTTTCCCACATTGTGTTGGTTCAACCGACAGGAGTTTATTTACTCAACACTCGAAGTTGTTTATTTATCACTTTATTGAGATTATAGATAATCGTTTTATGGAGATGCACCAATACACACATAATCGTGCGTGACATTTAAGTAAATAAACCAAATATTTGTGACGCCGTATGCGTTGTTTGCACGCTTTTTGTGTGCACCCAATGGTCGGTATTCGGCACTTGATTCAGCATCAGGACAATGTTCTTTACGAGAACCTGTCATCAAATATTCCGAAGATATATCAACGTTCTACAAATGATGGGAGTATTCAGCTTCATATCGTAATATTTTAAAAATGTGAAGTTCTTAATATTTCGTTGGTTATAGAATTAGTTTGACTGAAACTGGCTCGTGTTTTACTCTGTACCTGCTGATATATTGTTTGAGGGGGGCGGAGCTAAATGAGGGGCATAAACACCGTCTCGGATGACTGATTCCCATATTGGTGACAGATAGAGACCTGAGTCGCGATTAAGATTGTTTTAGTTTTGTCGAATAAAATTTTATGTCCGGTTTCATGAGTGTGTTCGGCAACAGCTGATGAGTTTATTTGTCTTAGTCGTAAGGCTCTTTCGTGTTCTTTGAGTCCAGTTGATATTTTTTGTCCGGTCTCTCCAATGTATTCTTTGCCGCATATGCACGGAATGCTGTAAACTCCTGGCATCTCAAATGGAATTTTGTCTTTGACGGACCGAAGATACTGAGAGATTTTTAGACAAGTGGAAATCCGGTTTTGACGTTATACTTCTCCTTACTTATACTTATACTCCGCCTTACGACTAATACAAATAAACTCATCAGCTGTTGCCGAACACGCTCATGAAACCGGACATAAAATTTTATTCGATAAAACTGAAATTTATGCATGTAATCAGTTCTTCTACCAACGAAAAGTCCGAGAGTCTATAGAAATCTATAAACAACCTAATAACCTTAACCGCGACTCAGGTCTCTGTCACCAATATAGGAATCAGTCATCCGAGACGATGTTTATGCCCCTCATTTAGCTCCGTCCAATATCAGTTATTGGACTAATGCCATTTACATATATCTTACGAGCTGTTTTATAGAGACTTTCTAGAAATGTAGAAAGATAATTTTAATGTTAATTTTTACTCGCAATATTGATTGTATATTGACATATTGATATATGTACGTCTTCCAGTTCAAGTACTTATCTATATTAATATCAAATATGTACTTCGCAATTAAATATTGGTTATAATGATATAGCTACCAGAGATATAGAAGCCCTGTCTATACCGATAATACAGCAACCACGAAATAAACATTGGAGTCCATTCAACATACGGGTGCGCTAGATTTGGAAGATCGTCAATAAATTTGTATGCGGCATTTTTACGGCATATTTTTTTCACAATATGCCTAGATCTCGTCAAATATTCTGGAGAACGAGTTAAACGTGTGAAATTCGCTGCTTAGAAAGAAAATGGTGCAACGTACAAGTTACTGAGTGAAATGCAGACGCATGCGCGGAAAGTAATTACCTTCTCTAGAAGATATCAATGCAGCCTGCTGTGCATTAATTTTTACCGCACTAGTCTTAATACAGTAACTTAAAAGTTGACCAATTATTTTGGAGTGGAGAAGTAACCTTTTGATTGTTTGTTTTTCTTGAGGTCTATCGTTTTTTCTCGTGTGGGGTTGCTAGTCCCCCATCGGGCGCCTCCCCAGGTGGCGGATAGGGGAATGCCTCCCAGATATGGGTGGTACTGGGGAAATGAAATACCCAGGGCGGACCAAAACTAGCATGACACAGGGCAGTAGCTGTGGCATTACTGGTTTGGAGGCTATTGAAGAATGACTTCTCTAAGGACCCAAAGTCAGATACCTACAGGCGATAATCACATAAAGATTTACTCGGCTGTAACACTACGCCACAGAAAGGAGAGGGACCCTACTGTGCGAATATGTATCCCTAGAAAACTCATCATGGACTCTAACTCGAAGACATATGGTAAGACGCCATGCGACCCGATTGGCAATCGGCGCTCGAGCCCCAGGACTACGAGTGTGAAATTGGTTACTGGCTATAGGAGAGTAGGTGACCAGGCATCCTATAGAAAATATGCGACTGGAAAACAGAAATCAAAACCGACAATGCACAGGATATGCACATGGAATGTGCAAGGTATGAACAAAATCGGTAAACTGGCCATCATCGAGAAAACACTCACCAATGTCCCCATTACCGGAATATCAGAAACTCACTGGAAAAATAGTGGACACTACACAACTGAGTATGGCAATCTTTTGATATGCTCTGGAAACGAAAACCACAGCAGTAACGGTGTGGCCTTTCTGATACATAAGAACTTTAAGGAATCTATTTTGGGATACGAAGCTATCAACGATCGAATAATTACCCTGAAAGTGCAAGCAAAACCGGTCAACATAAACCTCATGCAAATCTATGCCCCCACATCGACATGCCCTCAAAATGAAATAGACAACTTTTATGGTATACTCTCGAACACAATAACCAGAATGCCTAACAGAGAGCCTTTAATCGTACTGGGCGATTTCAATGCGAAGATTGGCGAAACGAAGACCGATACACATCTACGAACGGTAGTAGGAAAATATGGCATAGGAGAAAGAAATGAACGTGGTCAAATGCTTATCGAATTCTGCGCGGAAAACGAACTATACATATCTAATTCCCATTTCCAACATCATATTAGAAAAATATATACCTGGAGATCTCCTGATGGACATACACGCAATCAGATTGACTACGTTCTTATCAAGAGAAGATGGAAAAGTTCTATTAGAGATGTGAAGACCTATCCTGGCCTGGATTGTGGAAGTGACCATAATGCTCTGGTCGCGGAAATCTGTCTCAGACTGCAGCGCAACAAACGCCGTCCTCCAAAAACCAACCCATGGTACAATGGGAAAAACGAGATCTTTCAAAATGCAGTCAAAGATAATCTTGACAAAATATCGCAAGAAAAAATCAACCAAATGAACTCCGATGAACTCTGGACAGAAATGAAACACTCTATTGAGCTCGCTGCCGAATCTGTAAAACCTGATAAAAACCAACCAAGGAAACCATGGATAACACAAAGCACCTGGGAAATGATCTCCGAGCGAAACAACTTAAAAATCAAAGGACTACAGGAGAACGAAGCCCAAGAGACATATGGAGAACTGAGCAAAGCCATTAACAGAAGGCTTAGGATTGACAAAAATGCGTACATTGCTTCAGTATGTGAGGATATCGAAAAACATGCAAACCAAAACCAACCACGGGATCTATTCCAAAAAGTGAAGATGCTCTCAAGAACCTTCCAACTACAGTACCTTCCAATTAAAAATACCACCGGTGTAAGATTGACCACGACACCTGAAATTGTAGAAAGATGGCGTCAATATTGCGAGAATCTTATGGCCGCTGAAGAGATGGACCTACCAGAGAGCCTGTCACTTGAAGCTCGGGTACGTGAACCACAAATTCTGAGAGACGAAGTTGAAACAGCTCTTAAAAAACTTAGGGACAGAAAAGCGCCAGGCTCAGATAATATTGTAGCGGAAATGTTAAAATGCACTGGAGGCAAAGGTATTACCTTGCTGCACCAAATCTGTCAAAAGGTATGGGAAACGGGAAAATGGCCAGAAGAATGGACGAAATCTGTATATATCCCATTACACAAAAAAGGCCCAAAAGACGACTGCAGTAATTATAGAACAATTGCTTTAATAAACCACGCAAGCAAAGTGCTACTGTACATCATACAAGGAAGGCTCAAAAATTACCTCCTCCCCAATATACCCCCAGAACAAGCAGGTTTTATGCCAGGACGAGGAACAAGAGATCAAATTCTAAATGTGAGACAGATGGTGGAGAATCTCTTTGAATACAATGTCTCTGCTATGTTATGCTTTTTGGATTATAGCAAGGCCTTCGACACGGTGCACTGGAATAAAATGTGGTACGTTTTAAAAGAAATGGGAACCCCCGACCATCTAACCTACCTTATTAAACAGCTATATGACAACAACCTAGCCCAAATAAAAATAGGAAACGAATACTCAGGAAATTTTAGAGTTGGAAAAGGCGTAAGGCAGGGATGTATTCTCTCCCCCATACTCTTCAACATTTATGGAGAATGGATAATGAGGAAGGCGTTGGGGAACTGGAAGGGTGGCGTATCTATTGGAGGGAAAAAGATATCAAACCTTCGATACGCAGACGACACTATCGCAGTGGCTAAAAACGAACAAGAAATGTGTGTACTATTACAACGAATCGAGCAAGTAAGCCTGGAGTGCGGACTGCGACTAAATAGATCTAAATGCCACCTGATGATAATAGACCGGGCAGGAACAGTTCCTTTACCACTGCAGCAAATCCATGACATAGAAGTTAAAGAAGAGGTTATTTATCTGGGCACGAAGATAACAAATAGAGGTGGTTCAGAACAAGAGATTAAAAGAAGAATTGGGATGGCAAAGGAGGCTTTGGGAAGGCTGGTTAAAATCTGGAAAGACCACCGTATCCGCAAGGAAACTAAAACAAGACTTGTGAAATCTTTAGTGTTCCCCATTGCAGAGTATGGCTCGGAATCCTGGACCATAAATGCTGCATCTCGAAGAAGAATTGAGGCGTTTGAAATGATATGCTACCGAAGAATGCTGAGAATACCCTGGACAGCATACCGCACCAACGCATCCATCTTAAGAGAACTAAAAGTACGGGAAAATGAGAGATTATTACCAACAATACAACGACGTATGCTTAAATTCTTCGGTCATGTAATACGAAAGGACGGTATGGAAAAACTCATGATACAGGGGAAGGTTGATGGAAAAAGGGCAAGAGGAAGGTCACCAGTGAGATATATAGATCAAATAAAGGAGCTCACACAAATGTCGGTCTCACAAGTGATGCGTACTGTAGAGGACAGAGAAGCTTGGCGAAGGGTCACTACACAACATCCATGAACGAGTCACGACGTCCGAAAACGGACAACGACTGAAGAGAGAGATCGTTTTTTCAATTTTCCAAGATGGTGTCTGTGTGTATGAAGTCTTGTCTTAAATCAGTCAACCAGAACATATTCTGCTAATATTGGTAGAATATTTGTAGAATGATTATACATATTTTATATATTTATGGAGCAAAGCTTAATAAATAATAATTCTGATATTCACACAAAAAAATCTAGCAGGAATTTCCCTGGTCCTTTGAATGAGGATCCCCGAATATGACGACACTTGTTCCGGAAAAGCGGAGTAACTCAAATCTTTTATTATAATTATATGGGAAAATATAACCGCAAGATAAAATGTCCTAAACGAGGCCCCAAATTTTAATTATAACAGTCTCGTGAATAGAGGGGCGTGTTATATTAGATGATATAGTGGCCGTTAGCACCGTAAAATTGACTAACCTGGACTTTACAGCATTTTTTTTTCTAGAAGCGATCTCTACACATTTAATTCGTTTTCCATACAACGCATACTTCGAGAAAGTGCTGCCGTAAAAATGCCACATCCAAACTGAAAATAGCCGATCTGTCAGAGGCCATGTTGGTTGTTGCAGCCTAGTCTTATTGGTCGACAGCGAGATTTAAAATGACAGGTCTTATTGCTTAAAAACTAGATCTCAATTCACCAAGCATGCACATAATGAATATGATATTTTCAAACTCAACGGGAAATTTCCAGTTTCGTTGAATATCCTGTTACTAATAATTAACTAACTGGTGTGTACTGTGGTAATCTGAAGGTAGGTACGTCACTTAAAACAACATAACATTTTACGATGGCTTTAAAAACATTAAATATTGATACACCGATAAAGTATTTTTTTGTCTAATTTATAAGTTTACGTACAAATAGGTCATTGTCTACGAAGCAGTGATCTACAGCAACGACACAATTAAAAGGCCGCAACTCTATTGAGGATTCTGCGACAACAGAATAATACTTGTACTTGTATCTACCAGACAGTGCTTTACTGGGATTACGCATTATATAATAATTAACTATAGCTAATTTAGAGCTATAATAGAGAATCCATAATTAATGGAAAATTTAAGAGTTACATAAATTTACGCTCATTAGAGAGTTGCTGTGCTTCATACAGGGTGTCCTGAGGGATGTTTTATTTAAGTCTTCCAAAAATTATGACTTTAGGTATGGGTATAAGGTATTTATTAGAAATGTCAGATTATTTCGGATTACAAATTGATATGACATTTTGTTAATATTTGTAAACCTTATTAAACCAATCACTTATTGTGTCCAGAGACTTGTATTTCTCAAATAACATTGCGCGGTGTTGCCCGTCAAGTGTACAGGTATTTCTTTCAGTGAAAATCCCATAATATTGTCCAATGAATATCAGAGAGTAAACTTGAAAAAATATATAAACTGTTATTTCTCGATCTGTGTGGTAGATATTTTAGGAGAGACTGGCACGTACCTGCTAACAGGTGAATTAGACATAAATAAATATCATGTAAATATATCAAGGCAATCTGGTGAGATTACCTAGGACATATTTTAAGAATGTTAATTAAACGTTGCAAATTATTTTTCTAACAAAGACCGCTCTTTTTCTGGGCTGTCGCTGCATTTTGTAAATATTTTTCGAATCACGCATTTTTCTATATACAAGCGACTTTTTTTGTTAATTTCGGCCAGATTTTTTTCTTAGCCATGTTGCTTATGTTGACTTTTTATTCCTCTCTCATATCTGTTATCTGGTAGCGCATTAGGAATTTCCATTATATAATAAATTCTATAGTATTATGCTACTGCTATCCTTGACATACACAAGTAACGAGCGAACGTGTGGCGCATTTACGCAAAATCACGCAAGTCAATGTGATCCCAATTGGTTTAATAGATTAAACTTCTGAATCATAAAACGTATTCACCCAGTGATAACAACGAAAGTCATGAGTCAAGTGGGTAATCAAGCGTCGTAAATTCTATTTATTGTCACTACATGAATACTTTGTCTACCAGGAGCACAGAAATATATTATGTATGTTGCATTTGTTTTCACCTAATGCCCGATATGCATTAGGTGAAAACAAATGTTACTCATATAAAACTATAGATTAAACACCTTTAGCTTTACTTGTATGTTTCTCAAAGTACTGTACTTAATTAATACACTGATTTTTGTGAAGTAAAAGAAATACCTTAACAACTCACCTGGGTGACTACGAATGATCCTTTCCAACTAAACAAGGGCTTGTGGAACCATAAAAATTGTAATTTCAACTTGCCCATGTCATCTGTAACCCTAAAACTGTCTGCTAAGGTGGTGATCCAATTGACAACTTCCTCGTTGGCGTATGTAATTAGTCCTTGCCCAAAATGATGTTTTCCATCAATGACAAAATTCAAAATGCCTCTGATAGAATTTTCTGTAAGAACAGTCTCTTCATCCAAATGAACTATCCAGTCATTATCACTTAAAATGTTTATTTTATCTTCTAAGCAATACTGCAAGGCTCTGGCTTTAAACAAAGCTCCCGACGACGTACGATAATCGGAGGGTACCACTATTTCACGGATTCTTCTATGGTTTTCCAATCCAATGGGTTTATCAGACACTACCTCTATTAGAAAGTTTTCTAAACCAGTATCTAAACAAGTATTCATATTTCGGTTTACATTGTTTTTCACTAATTGGGGAAAGTCGCCCCTGGTAACTACCCTAATACAAATAAAAGGGGCCAAAAGAGGCGAACCATTTAAAGAAACTTTTTCGGGAAAAGCGTTATAAATCGTGAGACCAATAAAATTAAAAATCACTTGAGGCAATGGCAAAAACGTAATCAAGCGCAAAGCGTATAATGTACATGCTCCGAAAAAACCATACTCCACCCATGGGTTAATTTCTGAAGCTGGCACAAAAATACCACCGTTAAAAAGTCGTAAACCACCCGAAAATATTTCGAAAAATAATATTACAGTGAAAAAAAGAGTACAGTGGAGGTAATGTTTAGTTTTACTACTAAGCATAATGAAAAATCGACTCAAACTCCCAAATCACACCCCTTCAAACACCACTGTTGTAAACAGACCAACTTCAGTTTGGATCACTTGAGGTTGGAATAAAACGTATTTCCGTAAAACATTTTTTCGGTTTCTACACATTGTGGGCAAGCACAGCAAAATTTTCACTCAAAAACAACGGGCATTAAAACGCCTGAACAACCGTCACTAGGCATCATTAGTGATTGATTTATTGTGTGCTACATAGCTCCTAACCCAAAGACACATCTCAGAGGCAACTGACATAAAATCTAAAAACAAAGCCGGGTGGGAAGCCTGTGGGCTGATTCTCAATTACAACACTGGCGCATTCTACCGGGAAGTTTTTAAAAAACGAAAGAAGTGTTTACATTTGCATGCAACATCATATACACCGCCAAGAGTTTCCCTCCACTGGCCAACTTCCACAACCATTCTCATTTAAATGTAATTTATCTATGATTTTCTTTGCGATTTAATTCATCTATTATGTTTTGGACGTGCTATTAAGGCAATTCGCTAGCACATTATTTGTATATGATGTCTGTGAATGTCGGACAAGTTCTAGTGCATATCAAGGTCCATGCCTATCGCTAGAGTCCAAAGCCACCCACAATTTTTGGTGTCTGTACCATTTAGTGTTATAAATCACACACAGAACGCTAAGGCAAGGTAGTAAACAAAAGAGGAAAGTTACTTCCCATAAGCGCTGCATTCGCCAGAACAGGGATAAGGTGTGACGTACTACGTCCCCAATCCAAAGATTTAGTATTAGTGTATGTACTAGAAATTTGCCTTTCCCGAAACACATCTTTCTCTATTTTATGATTTTACCTATTATAGATATAAACTGCAGGGCTGAACTTACTTTCATAATATACAGAAAGTTGTCAAGAGACCCAAAAACCTTAAAAAAATGATGATTCAAATTAACTCCCTCGTTAAGAAATTCTCCGGTCCAAATATGTGCGCGCGCATTTAATAAGATTTGTGAAGAATTTAGGAGCATTTAAGTTACTGTGCCAAAATAGGGAAAAATTTAACAAATTTAATAATCAGACAAGAAATCTGAACACTCCCATACACACGCTAAAATCCACCACATCCTTGTATCAAACTTTTTAATTAAGTCATCTGACGATATTAAATCAGTTGGAAGCCTGAATACAATCAAAAGAATGGTAACAAATCGGTTTATAAAATTAAAACTGTACACAATACATAGAACATAAATGAGTCTTGAGGAATGGAAATGTACATTCACTGTTTTCTTTGATGCTTTTGTTTCCAATTGTATTTGTTCCTGTAGTTAAGTGATTTAAGCAACATAGAACAGAGAAGGTGGAAGGTCCTCGAAATTCATACTGACTCATATCATTTGAACAGAAGATCACATTCTATTTTGTTCCTGAAAGCATTACTGATCCCAAAGCCCATGTGTATATACTAAATATGAAAACTTCTTATCCATTAGGAGTGAAATACCCAATAAAATAGTTACAAAACAAACAGAAATCTATTAAATTAACTATTAGCTAGATAACATCGTAATTCGTGTTGGTGGCCACACTTTGCATATAGCACGACCCTTAATTAGACCAATTGGCACAGGTCCATAACTTCTACTATCTGTTGAATTAGTATAATTATCACCTTGTAACCATACGTGACCAATTGGAATTCTTTCATAACTGCTAAAACCAGTTTTCATTTTTTCTCCAGATAATCCAACTACTCGCTTGCAAATCTGCTGCTTTGGATTTGTAGGACATTTTGCAATAACAATATCACCTTTCTTAATGCCATAAGTTAATGCCGATATATGTTCCGTAAAAAGAATATCGTCTGAAAAAATTGTAGGTTCCATAGACGGGCCAGAACACTAAAAAAGTGGAGATTGTTATGAAGAATCCCTATTCTCCTCCGAAATTACCAGAACAAAGTCACCGACATATTCAAATGTACAATGTGCGATACATCCGTATCGTAACACATAACCCAAAGATCCCAAACATTTTAGAACAAAATTTTTCATTCTTTTATTACATTAGATAAAAATTGGGGGAAGGAAATTGAATTGAATCGAACGGAATAAGTTATGTATTCCAAAATTACAAAATTAACCTCCAAATCTCTGCTTATACAACAGATGATTTCTTCTTCTTCTTAACTACTATTAACAATGTCAAACCGATCATTCGGCCGCTATTTAATCGAATTGATTTTTTTTAATAAATGTAGCTCCGGAACAATCCATTCCTTCTCTTAGTTTTTGGTGCTACTGATAAGGCAAATTGCCACTTTTAACTCTTTAATGCAGGAGCAACACAAATTTGACCTATTACCCTTTATATACCATATACTTTACATAAATTACAATTTAAAAAAATTGTGATTAGTTAAATACTCTGTAATGGTAATTTGTATTTCGAATTAATTTTATTACATTAAAGCCCAAAACAGCAGCATAAACCTTGCTTCAAAGATAATTGATGTATGAACGGCTTGTTATTTTATAAGTAATTGGAGGAAGAATCTTAGAAGGATATCGGTAGTGGGCGAGTGTCTTTAGCAGACATGAATATACTTGAAAAAAGCACAGAAAAAAAAACAGCACAATTTTTCCCATGGTATTGAACCACAGTAAATTAATTTGTTGTCAATTTAATGTCACCCTCATTTTACAATGTCAACGTACAATTTTTTTTTTTGCTTTGTTTATTCAGAAAGTAACAGCGAATGCGGTACAGCAGTTTCAATTGAAAGGTTAATCTATATTTGCCTTTGTGATTTCTAAAAATAAGGTCTCACATCTTCTTGTGTTCCATTTTAAACATTTTCGTGAGTGTACCGTATTGGAGAATGAAATAAGGATTTTGCTTCAGATTTTCTGTCATTGTGTAGAGTTCCAGAAAACGACGGGTATGTTGTGGAATTGAGTGATTTTTATTGTTGGCTCAAGGTACGGAAAGGTTTGATTGTTTTATCTTATGTAAGTTTATGCAGTAGTTATTTCTTGCCACTACACCCAAGTTGCGATGAACTATCAAAAAAATGTTTAGATTTTCTGTGACTAATAAAAAAAACGCAATAACTAACCGATTAGCATTTTGTGCGATGAACGGGTTATTATATAAAACAAGTATTTATTCTGGAATTATATAGTTCTATATATTTTTGTAATTACGAAAATTATGCGGGGTGGGTAAAAAACAAAAAAGTTAAAAGTATATTGCACATCAATTTTTATGTGAATTCATTGACATACCTTGTGGCTAATTTCTCAATGCTCAAATATCTCCCGTGTCTTTCCCAGTAAATTTGTAATTGCTATAGGGACTTAAATCAGTTTATAATAATAAATAACATAGGTGCATACTTTATCATTCGTCCGTATCAAAAAATAATGAAAAATACTAAAATAATGGATATCTTAATCCTTTGTCAGGATTAATTTGGTTTTAAAAATTACATATGACTGATTTAGTACCTCGAAAAGACATCAGATATAGGAAGAGATTTTTTTTTTAAATATTCCGCAGGTATTCTAGTTATAAAAAAATATTTGACAAATCTTGTGTTATTTGGATATATCGAGGATACATCTTTTCAAGGCAAACATGCTGGCAAATTATAAAGTTATTAAGAAATTATAGCTTTCTTAAATGTATTTTACTTTAGTAGTTATTTGTAAACTGTCTTAATCAGAAAACCCACTTAGTAACTTGAATAGTTTAAGATATTCTGGATACACTTGTATATTTTTTGTCTATATTCAAAAATAAACCTTAGAAAATATTATTTGTTATGTTTCATATACTTTGTAATTTCGGTTTATTTTACCAAGAACTTCCAAAAAAGTAGTACCGGTTTACATGTCTCAAATTGAATCCCTTCAAACCATTCATTTAGTTGCCAGCGAAATATTTAGGTCAGGCAAATGAGATGGTTACAAATAATAGGAACCAAATCTTAGTTTTAGTTGAAAACCCATATATTATCCTATACATTATCCGTTCTCCTGGTTTCTGATTTATATAGTACACGCTGAAGGACATTTTGACCCACTTTTATGTTTCATAATAATCCTTATTACGTGACGTCGGCAATCAAGCGATGACAGTGGGCTAATTTATATGTGTATGCTTTTGTATTTTGCAGTCGGTAATTTAATCGACTCTAGGCCTGGATCTTTGAAGAAATTTTGCCGTTTCACTTTGCGTTTAACGTTTATTAATCATGATTAATAAATGTGGGCATCGACTTTTGTGCTAACGTAGAAGATAATGTTCAATCTTTATAGTTCACCGATAAGATTAATCCTAATGAAAGTAAAATTAAATGCAACGGGGTTACTATAATCGATATAGTTGTGAAAGTTATAGTTTCGCAACTAGCTCGGCGGAGGTTTCCTTATGTTTGAAGAACCCGCTAATGTTTCCGACCATTTTTTGTAGCCAGATCAACTGCTCCCAATAAATAATCATGGGAAAATTCACCGGCAAGAAATGTCGGTTACTTTCGATGCTGTGGCTAACCACGTTTTTCTTCTTCGTGGAAATTGTGGTCGGTTACATCACGAACTGCATGGCCTTGGTGGCCGACAGTTTTCACATGCTGAGCGACGTCGCCGCGCTTGTGATAGCCTTCATTTCGGTGCGAGTAAGTTTTTGGTAGTTTTAGTTGTCGCACAGGCAAACTTAACAACCAAAGAAATTTTTGGATCGCATTCCACGCAGATGTTCCGCTTAATATTGTTAACACATATAAAAAAAATAGTCAATAGTTTCTGATATATCTCGACTTTTATGTGATGCTGCAGGTCTAAATATACCTTTCGATTTCCCCAACTGATAGTTTTTGTTAGATATTTGGGATTGATTTCCTTAAATATATTTAAAAAAATGAATTTATATGCGATGATCAAAATATTAAACATTTTTAAAATTTTATCGAATTTACCTATTTCTAAAAGTTTTAGATTTCCAAATAATAACAATTAAGCGGTTTTCGATTGTAAAAGTGCTATACGGCTTTAATGTTTTGCTGTTATTGTTGGCTACTACAGAAACGTCATTATCTTGGCTTCTTGTGAGTTTGGAAATCAATGTTTGACAATTTGTTATTGATATCCTCAGTTTTTGTTCGCGATTACGTGTTCCGGTTTATTAATGCGGTAGATCGTAAATAAATAATCCTGTGGAAAAGGGGATAAATTAAATGGGTCTCAGTGAAGTGTGTATTCAATTTTTTTTTTGTAATATACAATAAAATAACTATTACCTGAATAAAGATCTGCTGCGGTGCTTGCAAATTCAGTGCTGTCATTTATAATTTTTAATATTTTCGAAATATTCAGAAACAGAATTATTATTAGTTATTTTAGAAAAATGTGTTGTTATAAAATGATCTAGAATGATAAAGGCGCTCACTTTCGCTCAGTTTCGGTGTCGACCGTAGGTGCAACAAAATTATTTTTGATTCTTATTGTAAATTCGATACTAATTGCCTCTCATTATTCCTTTATGACGGAGTAAAGGCAAATGAATGACATTTTAATGACAGAGAAATTAAAACTCACTTACTTAGCTACCAGTTGAATGGGACTGTCCACCCTTTAAGAACTCCAAAAGAAGATAAGTTCCAGTTCCTCACATAATGAAAAATATTAAGAATTTTAAATAATTTACTTTCTGTATAATCTATAATAATTAAAAAAGAGGTAATTATTATTACGTACATAATCCCTAATTTTTATTCTGTAAAGTTCTACCTTTTTTCGAGTGTCCTACGGGACGGACGCTTTTGACATTCTCAATGTTAGTAAATAGATGAAAATAGGCAAAACCCATAAAATGCCCAAATCCGGATTTTATCACCTGCACTAAAAAGAATGAATTGTGTAATTAAATCAATGGCAAACAGTGAAAGTGGCTTAAGTATTCGTTGTATCACTCTTTGCATACAAGGTTGCCTAAGGTTTTATTCCTCTACATCTTTTTGAAATAGACTATAGAAATTAATCACTACAGGCAGTACCTGCCTGCTGCAGATATTTGAGTTAAAAGTAGAATTAAAAACTTCGAGACATATAGAGACCTATGCTGTTGATAACTTGTTCATAAATTTCGTTTCTAACCAATAAGATATGTTAGTTCACATCTCGCTCTCCACCAATAAGATCTAGCGGCGTTCAACGACCAATATGGCTGCTGGCAGTTCGACAGTTTTTAGAGCTCGCTGTTTAGATAGAAAATAGTGCAAAGTACAGGGTAGTGTGTGAAATTTAGGGCACTGAGAGAAAAATAGGCGCCTGGAGAGCAATAATGTTTGATCTATGATTGGTGAATTGGTGAAATCCGGTGTTTTGCAGATGTGGCCGTCTATGTTGATTGTGCGTTAGTTTAGTTAATATTTTATATTAACTATTTACTTCGCAACTGATGCGGTAGTAAAGGCGAAAGTGAACCCGCGTGAATGGTGTTTGTCTTGTATTAGATGTCCCCCAAAAAATGGTCTAAGAACACGTTCGGTTGGGCAAGGGCCGAGGTTCTGGGGGCCCTAGTGAATGCGGTGTTCCTCGTCGCCCTCTGTTTCTCCATCACGGTCGAGGCGTGTAAGAGGTTCATCGAAGTTGAAAAAATCCACGACCCTCAGCTTATCGTCATCGTCGGCGGCATAGGGCTCTTGGTAAATGTCATTGGATTGCTTTTATTTCACGGTAAGTACCATCCAACTCGGCCGACGAGTCAGATCAACGACATAGATTTGACAGATGACAAAAAATCCATTAATTTTTAAATTTTTAACACTAATTAAATAAAGTTAACAAAATAACGATAATAATAGCCAATCGTGACAGTTATTTATGTGAGCTACACGAAAGTAAATTAATCCAGTTATCTAAAATGTTATTTCTTTGAATAAAATTGTTTTAACATCTAGCGAGGTAGCACTTTTTTTTAAATGACAACAATATTGGCGTTTCAACGCTGAAAAAAATAGTATAAGATGTGTTTTGCTGGTATTTAGCGCGTTGCCAACTTTTATTTGTCTCCGATGTGCGTGAAAATAGATTTACATAACTTGTTTTCAAAGTTAATCTTGTTATAACGATTGCGGGTTTAGCGACGGTAGTCAAATTTGATCGAAAATACATAACAAACTTTGGCATCTTGTGTCTACCGTTATTGGTGCTTAATTTCCCTTCAAATCGAATAAAATTTATTAATTCAAATACTGATGATAAACTGACTAATATTAGTTATGGGTTTAATGGTAGAGATTAATTATTATTTTTTGACAACTAAATTTTTACCGACATGTTCTTTTTATAAAAGTTAGTAATTGCCCTGTAAATTCTATTATTTATGTATTGTACGCCTCTCTGGCCTTGGGTTGTAAACTAGCAGTAAAAAAAGTTCTTGGGTAATTGTTGACACGCAAATAAGTCATTTTTCCAAAAGATCCATTGATTTTAATTTTTTATTCAGCCAATTTTCTATCAGAGCCAACACATTTTTTGACTTTTATTTTGCATTGCATTGAAAATTTGATTGTCTATGCTTCATCCTGTTGGCTTCTTGAGAACTTAACCGAAACAGTTTCAGTTAGCTAGTTCGACGGAGGAGGAATCCAGAAGTTTTGCAAATAGCTTGTGAAAGTTTCTTTGAAAAATTATGTCTCAATTGCTTTATTGCAGCAATGTATCGGATTTGCTGCTATATTGCTTCCATGTTGTAAGGCTTTTGCTTTCCGGAATTAGATAACAGGTTTCTTGTTATGCTTGAGAATCGGGAATCCCTTACTGAAACTTTCTTATTTATTATCTTTATCAAGTGGCAAGCCAACTTCATCGGGCCTTATTCGAGTTGCACTATTACTCAGTTTGTATTTGCAATTTAATCTAGCCTGCAGCACAACATTTTTTTCTTTCGCTGAAAATTTCGCGGTAGATCAACGAATAGCTGACAAAACAGCGCAGATTTAGACGAAATTCGGATCTTTTAGTTGCGAAATGCACGACCTCACTGTTTATCAATCTTGCTTAAAACCGAAGGCATAATGTTCCGAAGAAGGATATCATCTCATATTTATAAAATAAAGTTATTAGATAGTAAGTTTTAGGATGGCCATGTTTGCTCATTATTTCAGCCGCAAGGTCATAAAACGGAACATAAAAAATACAATACACGTACTCTCATACGTGACAAGTCCACTTGCATTAACATCGAACGAATTTAAAATTCAGAACACGGCAGTTCGCATGGTCATTCGCACGGTGGACTGTCCCATTCTCGCAATCGCTTGACCCAACTCGCCGTCACCGACGACAATGAGAACGACGAAACTTACCCGTCGCCTCCACCCCCGCCGCCACCCATTAAGCAGAACTCTCACGGTCACTCGCACTCGGCGGGACAGATGAACATGCGCGGTGTTTTTCTGCACGTGTTGAGCGATGCCCTGGGCTCAGTTATCGTTATTATATCGGCATTGGTGAGCGCAACCCGCGTATGTTAGTTTTTACAATTTGGGACAGAATAAATCGAAATAGAAAATTATCTATGCCTACTAACTACAGTCTAAGACTGGAAACGATTATTTACCGCCGTATAACATTGAAAAAGTGTCATGTAGTGTTTGTCTTATTTATTATTTTAAGATGTCCGTAAAATAATAACATTTATTCTTTATTTATCAAAGGAACCAACGTAACGAATTCGGTTTTAAAATTAAATTGAAGAAAAAAACCGTTGTATTGGGAAGTTGCAATTTTATATTGCGCTTTTTGTAATTTCGTTTCATTGCAATCAATAAACAAAAAAAAAACAATAAGCATCTCATATTTACCAAATGATAATTTAAATTGGTTAAAAAAATTACTAATGAAGCACTGTTTACAAATCTTCTGGATTCCTCCTGTGTCGGTTATTGATAAATAGATCTTGCTGACGTTTCGCCAATCATCCTGTTGGCCTCTTAGTTCTGCTTACAGAAAACCTACTCACACAGACCGATATCCGGCCCAAAAATTATCGATTATCAACTCCCTTGTTTACAGAGCCGTAAAACTATCTCAGCCCGAGTCAATGAACCCAGAATTAAAACACCTTACATCTGCTATTCATACACTTCACCACGCCTTCCAAAGACACTGAGTCCGAAAGCAAATCCACACTTGCCACTGTTGCCGTTCCTTACATTCAAAAGATTACTGATCACATATAAAAAGTGCTTAACAAAGCAGATTTACCATTTATCCCTGAGCATCTTCGATCCGTGAAAGATAAAATTCATGAAAACATGAAAGAGCCTTAAGGCTGCAATAAATAAGCTGATCAGCAATTGTCAAACACGATCACGAAACCGGACATCGAATTTTATTTGGAAAAAACTAAAATTCTTGCATGTAATCAATTCTTCTACCAACGAAAAATTCTGGAATCTATAGAAATCTATAAGCAATCAAACAATCTTAACCGCGACTCAGGTTTTTCCTTTCACCAATATGGCAATGGGAAGCATGTACAAAGTAAAATGCAAGCCAGTTCCAGTTAAGCTCAGAAGAAGCCAACAAGATGATTGGCGAAACTTCAGCAAGTTTAGTTCGTCAACACCCGACGCAGGAGGAATCCCAAAAGATTCGTAAATAGTATTACAGTAGCCTGTGGGAGTTTTTTTGAAAAAAAAACTTAGAAACACAGATATACTAAGAAATATAGATATTATTAAACATTATTGACATAGCAGAAATTGGCCCAAATTGTAAATTTGGTTCTATGGAAAATGTAGATACTGTTTCCACTTTAGTAATAAAATTGTTTACTGCGGGTCACGATGACGAATGGTGTCTGACATAGATTATCATTTGGCAACCCTGTTCTACAATTATTTACCTTAACACCTAATACATATTAACCTTAAAAAACAGCAAAATATTTTTTCCAGTCCCATATTGCAAAAACAGACATATAAGGAGGTACCTGATTTGTCCCTTATCTAGAAATAAATTGAAGAGTAGAAATGTCAAAGGGGTATGTGCCATTTTTCATATATTAACATTTTGCGTTAGTGCACCGCCGCATGTTCTGAGAAAAGGAATATGTGCCTACCGTAACAATTGAGTAACCTGCATTTGCATTAATTTTTACAAACACCGGCAATTATAACAATTATTGTAAATTTAAACAGTTTTTCTTGACTATCTCAAAAATGTAATTTTGGCGCATAGCCCCTGTGGCATTGAGAGACACCATACGTGTGGCACCCTCTCGCTTAAAATAGCATTGTTTTTTTTTTTTAAATAATGATTTTAGGTGTTTTGGTTAACGGACTGGCGCTACAAGTACTATATAGACCCGGCTTTGTCGGTTTTATTAGTGTTGTTGATTCTGCGATCGGTATGGCCTTTGTTGCGGGACTCCGCTCTGATATTACTCCAAACTGTGCCCACGCACATCCAGGTCGATGCCATACAGCAGAAGCTGTTGCAAAAAGTGGACGGGGTATTGGCGGTCCACGAGTTTCACGTGTGGCAACTCGCGGGAGATCGAATCATCGCTTCCGCTCACATCCGGTACTTTAGCTATACAATGCATCCTGATTGGTCCTAAAACGGTTTTACGGCTCCAAGCTCAAGGAGCGGTGTTTATGTTTTCGATTTTTTCTATTTTAATTTTATTCTAGTTAACATATTATTATTGTTTTATTAAAAAATATCAATAGAATACAAAAAATAGAAAACCTTAAAAATAACGCTCAAATTGATTTCTATCAAGGGCCAGACATATTTAACATAGTTTACGAATTCTTCTTTGTTAATTTACGAGGTTAATTAGTCTAGATTCTAAAAAGTAGAATTCAATGGCGTAGTCAGGTTTTTTTTTTATAAAATGTAAGTTTTGAGATACAAGCCAAAGCGGTGTATATTTAGGTAAAATATAATATTTAGAGAATGTTTTCAAAAATAAGTATAAATAGTGCCATTTCCTGAGTTTCCTGCCTAGAATTATACAATATATACATATACAAAAATAGCATTATTATCGAAGTTCATGCCATGTTAGTTCTTTAATGTTTTCTATTTTTTGTATTCTGTAATAATGTAATGTTGTAAATAACAATAATAACGTCAAAAAAAAACATATTTACACAATTACACATGTTTGAACAGTGTATAAAATGAAAATTTTAGAAATATGCAAATTAGCTGTTATCTTAAATATTATATCTTGTGCAAAAAAAATCAGTAAGCCACTGGATGATAATAATAATAAGATTCCACTGTCATCATCTCTTTAGGATGCAGGTCAGAGAAAATCCATTTAAATTTCATTGTTCAAAGGCATGACGTACAGTCGAAGATTGTACCCAATAAATTATCGCATCGTACTTAGAGCGTAAAGATGAAATAAAAGATGTGGGAATATTATTTGACCCTGAATTGAAATTTGATAAACATATCAAGTATATTACGAAAAAGAAGTTGAGCTTTGTTGTTGGAGTCTAACGAAAAACCCATACGTATTTTTTCAGAATTTGCGCCGTCAAGGCAAATTAAATTTCTAAATACCGATCTCGCTCAAAACAACTTACTGTACTGTATATATGTAGATAATATTTAATAGGTTTACAAAAGTTTGTCACGAAAATTTGGAAAAATTTTGCTAAGAAAATCTATTTTATAACATGTTATAAAAATTTGGTTTAACGAGGTTGCATTGTATATTAAAGTGTGTTTGCACTGTCTGATTTTTTTTAAATTTTCAAATTCAATTTATAATATTTCCTATTTACATCCTGATAACACCATCAGATTTTAAATTTGAGCCGCCCGCCGTTTTTACCATGAGATTTTCTGTCCGAGTTTTTGCGATATGTATGCTAATAAAAACTATGTAAAAGGTGTTTCAAAACAAATACGAAAAATTTATAGGGGGGATTCCTTGTTAAAAATAAAGGTTTGTTATATAAACGTCGGTTCAAAAGCCAACCGTTAGGGAGTTGTTGTACCACAAATAAGGCGGAAAAATAATGTTTTTCTTTTTTTATCTTAAAAACGAAAATAGATAGAACAATAAAATATTACGGAAGTATACTTTTATAAAATTACACTTTGTACAATTCTTTTTATTTTTTGAAATGAGTTCGGACTAATCATAGAGGTAGTATATAATTCAGTCCCCTCCACTGATTTAAAAAAAATTATAATATAAGCTGTGTTTTTATAATAATCAAATTTTATTATTCTATCTATTTTCGTTTTTAAGCTAAATCAAGACATTATTTTCCTCCATATTTGTAGCGCGACATAGCTTTTGACTCAACGCTTATATAACTAATTTCTATTAATTTTAAAGAAGGGATTAATTTTTTTGTATTTGTTTTGAAACACCCTGTATAATGTGTAAAAGTGCAGAAGTAAAAAAGAATGTAGAAAATTACTCAGATTTTGCGTTTAGCTGTTATTAATAATTACCTGCATTATGTTCAAACGTCACGGTGCTCATTCTGGCAAAGTTTTTAAACTGTGAGAATCCTGTTTCAAGTTCATTCAACACTGAATTTGCTGCACTACTTTCTGCGAAAAATAACATTAGCACGATTATCAAATCATAAACAAAATCAAAATATCTGAGCATACTCGAATTTAAAATCGGACAACGTAGACACACTTGTAGATCAGATTGACAGTGGCAACACCCCAGACTTTTTCGTCTTAGGTGCCGTAACTTATCCGAATACATGAAAATCGCGGAAAAGGTCAAAGAATTTTTCCACAACGAGGGCATACATTCGACTACCATTCAGCCCGAATTCATCGATTACACAGACATACCGACGAGCTCTAAAGGTACACAGGAGCAAGCTACCGAGGACTGCGTCCTGGACTGTCCCAGAACTTCCAACGAGTTAAATAACTGCCAGAAAAATACTTGTTGTGGGCCCTCTAAGCAGGTAAAATCGTTTAATAAAATATTTTCTAGGGATCGGATAGTGTTTTGGTTAGTTATTTAGATGCAACTTGGGTATTTGGGGTCTTTCGAATTTAGTTTGGCTGTATAACTCGTAGAGTTACCTTTCGTTTAACATTTGTATATAATATATATATATATATATATATATATATATATATATATATATATATGCCCTTTGTTTACGTAAAAAAGGTATACTCGGTAGAAATCGTTATGTGGGTTACCTCTCTACTCTAGACCTTTCAGAACTACTTGTTTCAAAGTCGTGCGTGAATTTGTCTTTGTTCAAATTGTACATTTATAAAAAAGAAATTAAGGTAATTTTCAAATCGATTACTTCAAGTCCCAGTATCTCGGCTGTTCATAGTGAACCCTGCAAAGTACATTTGTTTTTCGTAAAAATATTGTATAAGTACTTACAAAGAATTTATGACACTTTAAAAGTGTGTCGCCTTCAAGCTATACTAAAATCAGATTCGAATTTTGAATTTCAAATATCAACATTCCTGCAAATATTATTTGGAAATAAACACTGCAAAGTACATTTGTTTTTCGTAAAAAATGAAAAACGAAATCTATTTTTTACTTATAAATATTATATAAGTACGTACAAAGAATTTATGACACTTTAAAAATGTGTCGCCCTCTACTAGATCAAGCCATACTAAAATCATATTCGAATATCAACATTCCTTCAAATATTATTTGGAAATAAGGAGAAGTAAAAACTTAACGCATTGTACCTCAAAATCGAAGTCTTGCATATCCATGAATTTTTTCCTTTAAAATTAATCAACCATATGGTTGTCACTCAGCGAATGAAGTCGCCGAGCAAAGGGAGCCGTCAAAAGGGTTGAATCGTAATGTGAAAATTTTATAGATCAACGAATGTGAAATCTTAATCAAGCTATTCACATTCTAATTGTCCAATTTCGATTTAAGGATGCAAACTCTAGCAGTGACGAAGGATTTGACGGAACTCGTAAAGAGCCGAAAAGTTTTCTTACGGGATCAAAGAGTTCAGCTTAAACGAGATGGGTATTTTCATTTATCTGTTCGGCTTACTTCAAATAGCGACTGACCTGTTTATTATAAGGTAACACCGTATCTCAGAACAAAGGCGCATGCGTTGCTACCACATTGTTTTTTTTTTTCAACAATGCCTTAAGAAAAATAATGTGCTAGATGATGTACATCTATTGCTAACTGTAGAAAACTCAAAGTTAACAAAACTCTGGCAAAAGACGCGTTTCTACAACTCACATCTATTTAAGCTTTGCTCTGTAGTTTATTTTCTCGTTACAGAACGGGAGTATTTAGAATTTAATTATTTCGGTAAATTCGTCGCACTTGTCGACTTTGAACTTTTATAACTGCAAATCACAATCTACAAGAAATATTCACGGTTGGTGGGACATTTTTCACATAAGTAATTATCTCTCCCCTATCCTCCCGTAAAATATTTTCAAGGTCCCAGTATGGCCGCTTCTGTCAAAAACTAGCGACAACTATGATTTTTCAAATGAGACTCCCCGTCTGTTCTTCCAATTTCGTTTCCGCTATCACTTTCTGATTATTATGTCCCTATACATACTTCTAGCGGTTTTCGAGATATTAGTTATCTGTATAGTTTAATATTTAGAACACTAAAGTTTTGGCAGAAATTTGCCAGTTTCTTGAGTACTAATTTGCTGTAGGGTAACAATTTCTACGATGTAAAGTGTTTAAAAAATCATGATTTTACCTTACACAAAATTAGCAAAAAGTTGTTTTTTTTTTAATGTAATATGTTGTTATCAAATATTTTGACAGATCATTAAAAGCGCTTTCATTTCATACATCGAATCGAAAATCGAATTATCTTAACAATAAATGAACAATGACAAATTGACTAGTCATTGCATTGGTAAACAAATGTTTTATTAAAGAGACTTAAAAAGCCAAGAAAAAAAATTGAAATGGATAAAGATTATTCAAATGAATTTTTAAAGAACCTTTTTATTACATATGAAGTGTCGACGGATTAAGATGTGAACATATAGAAAGTGCAACCAAACGTATCCTAAATTTATAGGAATAGTTCACTCTCGCGTAGGTAAAAAAGTTTATAATTAGGTTTGTGAGAACACTGCTTTTATTTCGTAAACCAATCTAGGTATAAGAATGTATTATATGCATTGAAAGCGCTTTTAATTATGTAAGGAACTTGCAACCAAAATTTCAACAATTAACCCAGAAATAAGAATTTAAATGAGAATCTGCTTCAGAGGTGTGCGGAAAGGAAAAATGGAATGCACTGGTTGGCCCATAAAAAAACACAAATTGACGCTACTTTTCGATACAAACGGCAACCCTGCGACTCTAAAATTATCTTATATACTTCTTTTTGTATGCTAACGATATTTTTTAGGGACGAGACACACCATCGCCAAACAACACCCCATATCTTTGTCGACAGAGGACCTCGTCCACGAACGTCAATCAAGAAGTAAACGAAATGGAAAAGGGCGTACTATTAGACAAAAGCCCAGAGAGGAACCCGCAAAGCAATTACGACTGTGGCCTTAGGGGTTCACAGTACTCACTAAGAGGCTAAGCCCGCATAAAGTATCATAGTTTTCTGATCTCGGAGTCGAGGAACGACGTACTTAGCTTCCAAGATGTTAATATCAGTTTTCATACCGTTAAAAATTCCGACTGTTCACGTGTTATTTCATATCGTGTTCAAATTATTAGGAGCCTTGAAAAGGCTAGCATGTGTTCTTCGCATTACCTTATGTCGGGGCTGTGATATACGTATTTTGTAAACGTTAGTGTCCGCGTGTTCTTTGTATGAAGTGTTCCATATGATTGAAAAACACTTTACGTTTTAATTCCATTCACAATCCCGCTCGAGACTAATTGTGTTAGTGCACCAGCTCAAGAATTTCTACTAGAAAGTTCACTTAGTTAATTCCCGCTCCCCCTTCCCAATGTGCCAGTTGTTATCGAATAGTTTGGCCAGTTTAGTTAAATCACAATTCTCTCATTTGCCGTGGTATCGCAAGGTTGATGTTTTAGGAAAACAAAGACGTAGAAATTTGCTAAAAATTTGGTCACTTAGGTTTTCTATTGCCATCTATTGATCTAAAATATCTAAACAAAAATGATCGGAAAGCGAAAAAGGAGAGGAAAATGTTACAATATACAAAAAATCAAAGTTTGCCATTACTTTTTGGTACAACCGGCAACATTGCGGCACTGAAAATATTTTACATCGATGGAGAATTGAAAATGAATGTGACTAAATTTTGAGCCAATTGCTATTTCCGGTTTTCCCAGAACGTCTAATATTTTATCCAGCGTGAAACGCCATGTGTGTGTATTTATTTGTTAGTGTCGAAAAATCACATCTGCACATTTGCTACACAAGAAATAGTAAATTTCCTCGCCCAAACATTTATGATCATCTAGTCGTGTGTCAAGCAGTTATGTGTTGCATTCGTGCCACGTCAATGGTTTGTAGTGATTAGATCCTGTACAAGGTTGATCCCCACATGGATGCATTTAATCATTTAACTGGCAAATAGATATTTTTATTGTTATAATGCAATTAATAGATTTTAATGTAAGAATTTTTTGAATATATTTGTATAGATAGGTAATTTGGATAGTATGTTGTAATATAAACGTCTTGACCAAAAAGAGAATTCTATGCAGTCGTTTATCCCTTTACATTATTCATCTGCGCTTTTAATGTCACATTATCATAGTTTGACCATCATTTTTTAGAAAGACTTTGTTAAAAGTGTATTAAAGTTTAAATAATTTTAAACTTACATTTTTTCAATAGAGGCACAAAACCAAGATTTTCTTTATCTTTGTACAAAAAACATGGCCCTAAACTGAATTTGTTTATATCTCTCACATGAAAATTTCATTTTGAAACACTTTGTTTCTGTCTGCACCGCCTTACTACGGTAATGTAGTGAATTTGCCAGTCAAGTAAAACGTTAATTGTTGTCTTTTTGTGACAATGCTTCCATTCGGTCAAACTTCTGTTGTTTTTTGTTACGTATCCATGCAACTCACTAACCGTTTTGACTGACTGCATTATAATTTTCATTTTCAGTGATTATTGAAATTTTCCTGTTTGGTGTCCTATCTGTTGTCAACTACGTTGTCTAGTTTTAGAAGAAGTGGGGTTGTTTCATATGGCCTCGAGCACTTTCTAACTACTTATTTTCAATTTCATGGCCTTACTAGGCTGCAAAATCTGAATAATAGTGGAACTTGCTAAAATTTCCATTTGACTACTAAACGCGATACCTAATTTTTTAGTTTTAATTGTTCTATCTTAAACGTATACTACGCAAACCTATTATTTTAATAATCAATTTCTTGAGTCCCACCACTGATTTAGGTAACTGCATTAATCTCTGATTACCATCTCCTATACTTTTAGTGTTTGTTGAACTCGAGTATAACAAATAAATATATTATTAGCAAAACAACATATAAAACCGACAATAACAAAAAAGCAAAAATTAAATTTTAATAGTTTTTAAATATGTAGTGAAAAAACTTTTTAGAATATTCGTAGGCAGCAAATAAAGTGGCAGTGGCTGGAATCGTTCTTATTAGTGTTGGCTTTAAGCCATTGTAAAGGGTCCCTAGCCCTTCATTCTTCACAATACTCAGTATCGTCTGAACCAAATTGTCATTGGAACCCGTCACTTGAATTCGGGACTTTGCTACATCAACTGGATAAGTCAGAGTCCAGAATAATCCGCCTCCAACTCCACCAGCTACCATTGTTTTAAAGAGACCCAAGTCTTCTTTTTTTTGATCGGTTTTTCTCAACAGTTCTCTTGTACCTAAAAAGTTCATGATAAATTTTAACTTTATTTTATTAGAAGTAATTGGTTGCCTTCATATCCACCAAAGAAGAAGAAATATCCAGGCATTTCTCTAACGAGTGTTGGAACTAAGCCCTTAAATAAGCCTGTAACACCATCTTTTTTCAATATTTGTTTTGTTAATTTAAGTGGACCTATATATCTGTTATTCAGACTGTCTGATTGTAGTTTTCTTATTTCATGCATAGCTTGTAGCCTGCATTTAATCAATTCTGTAGGACAAATGGCAACAGATGAGAAGAATGAAGCTAGAAAACCTGCACTAGCATTGGACAGTGTGCTTAATTCGTCAACATTTGCTACAGAGGTAGCTTTGGCCATTATTTTTTGGCAAAAACCATAACATAGAAACAAAACAGAATTTTCAGCAATATTTGTAACTAATGCAGGTACAGTGCCCGCATACAATCCCCGGGCTATTCCATCCTGCATGTAAGTTTCTTTAAAACAAAAAATCATCTCTTTGTACATGTTTGGGAATGTTTGCATTTTTACTTTTATAGTGTCTAATGGTTGACCTACATAAACCAGAGCAATTCCTCCTAAAACATTTATCAAAGGCATTGCTTTCCACAAAATAATTGTTACTTACCTAAGCACCCTGCTGTAAAATCAATAACACCATCTTTAACATGGTTTACATTATTAATTTCCGGTACTATTTCTCGATTTTCCATTTTATTATGCGAATTCACTCGGTGGATGTTTTTATCAAAAATATTTTGTAATTTGTTACTGATAAGAAATTATAAAACGCATGTCTATTTTATTTCTTACACCTAGTTGAATATTTATCTCTGAAAGCTTGGATAGAGAATTCACATGTTGAAGTTGAAGGCTGTTGTTATTATTACTATTATACATATTTTCGAAAATTAAAATGAAAATTCAAATTTAAGTTTTTTAGGTTATAATATTTTTCTTCTATGGTAATTGTTATGGCCTAAATCTTATTTTCAAACGAATACAGGGAATATTAATTTTCACTTTTTAATTGGAAGTAGCTAAAATGATGAATATGGCAAAATATAAACTAAATTTATTCATTGCTATATAATTGTGTACAGAGCCCACGACTTCCTAATTACAATTTTTGAATATGGTCAATTGACCAGGGTATATTGGTATGTCAAAAATTTATAAAAAGTAGAGGCAATGGTGTACGTGGAATTCGAAGTCAACGTCAAAACTTTGTTTTTTTTTAATGTTTAGTTAATAGAAACATTTGGTTAGAGATTAATATTAAAAATAAAATTCGTAAGATTGCTATATGCCTTTTAGGTAGCAATAAAAAATGTGGAATGAACCTGACCCAGATCCAGGGGGACAAAAAGACTCTTTAACAGAATTGTCACCTCAAGAGCTCTCAGATCTTAAAGATCAAAATGAACAGCAACTTTTACTTATCGCTCAGCTCAAGGAAATGTTGAGGAAGGAACAGAGTAGTGTAACTCAAGAAAAAGTTGAAGAATATGTAAACACTTTAAGTAGAGCTAAAGCAAAAAAATCTAGGTTAAAACTTGAAAACTCAGCAGCAAGTGGTAGCGGAAGGCCCACTAGCGCCGTCAGCATAGATGCTAGTAAAAAGGAGAGGATAAATTTGCTCAGGCAACAGCTTGAGGAAAATAAGTAAGTACTCTAGGAGGTGTAAATCAGTGTGACAAAATGTAAACAATTTCCTAGCTGCTACCTACCTATATGACTGCTTTTTTTCACATTATATCAAAAAGTGAGTAAGATATAATCAATGCTTGTGAAATGTTAGATTAGTTAGAATACAAACACCTATTTTTTTTAAATTAAAGTAAGCGGGATCAGATTCTCCAAAAGAGATTCATTTAATATTTCATAGATTTGGAATCCAAACTTAAAAACCCCAAGATTTTTACCCTACCCTCGCAATAACTTCTGCCCAACAAAGCCAAACTGATTGTATTTGTGTGTAAGTGTCGAATACAATTCTCACAGAATTATTTTGTACTTCTCTAGAAAACATTGTTTTGCTTAATGAATCACAACCCAAACCTTTGCCCTTTTTCTCCTATTATTGCTGACGTACCCAAGGTAAGTCAAATCATTGTTTTGCATTGTGGTGTAGGTCCAGTATCCATAACCATGTCTCGCCACCATGGAATTCCGATCTAAAAGCAGCTTGTCTCATATTGTACCTCGTCAAGGAAGATGTAGTCATCTGTACAAGGACCGACGTACCAATTTTATTGGTTGAAATAAAATGAATTTCCAATTGTTTGAGAAGATTTCCACAGTATTAGTACAATGTATGTCTGTTTTAAATGACCATTCTCTCTGCAAAAGAGTTCCAATTCAAATGACCTCGAGTGTCTCACTCCACTTCATATTCTCACCCCAGAGGTACTGACCCCCTTCCGCCGATTGTAGCGGTGGAAATTAATCCAACAGATCAACCCGTTTTTGAAAAAGGTGGCCTCTAGAGTCCCTCAATACGTTACGACGTATAAGTGGGATGTGTTCGACACTCCCTCCAGGGTCGATTCGTTATTATCAAAGAAGCAACCAACCTCTTCTCTGTTGCGTGTTTATTTATTTATTTATATATTTTATTGCAATCAACAGACTTCACAGCCCAGTAAACAATTACAAACACAAATATTATCTACATTAACCGCACGTTATCGCAAAAAGAGAAGAAAATGAAAAATTACACTTTTGGTATAGTGGAGAATTGACACCCACATTGGTAGGGGCTCTATTTAAATAAAAAAACGTTACTTCTATTTGTGAAATAGGGGTTACAGTTGAAACTTACGCTACTAAGAAGATAAGAACCATCAATTTCATAATGAACCAAGTTAAAAAAGATTCTTCCCTCTTGTATGTAGTGTTTAATAACGAAATTCTTGAAGTAAAGTTTGATATGGTATATCTTCAATATATTTTTTGTAAAAGGGGAACCAGACCAACGACGCATACTCCAGAAAAACTTACTAATAAATTGTACAAGGTTTATTTTGATTCGTTCCGGAGAATAAAATCCAATTACATACGTTGTGTTATGGTTATGTATAAACTATAAGCTACACCCAGATCTATCTCTAATTTACTTTTTTGTGGTTAATATTATATTATTGAATCGATTATCATAATTTTATGGATATTTCAATAATAATACTCAATAATTCTTTAAAATTTAAAAGCCGTCTGCGAATAATTCACACTCAGAATTCTGAAGAATATTTGGTAGGTCATTTATTAAACAAAGGAAAAACAGTGGATCCAGATTTGAAGCCTGCGGAACGCCTGAAAATGGGAGGCATTCACATGGCTCTACACCATGAACCACAACGTACATTATTTCCTTTAAGTATAATGCACATACCTTAGGATTTTCGACAGAGATACCAATAGCATCCAGTTTTTTTAGAAGTAAATCTGTAAATATAATGTCTACTTGTTTATTGTTATCTATGGATTTATGTATTTTATATAAAAAGTTAAGTTAGTCTCTGTCAATCTTCTCGGCATAAAACTGTGTTAGTTTAAATATATATAAAAAAAATATAAATATACAAAATGGTTTCAAAAATTTAACTTGGTGCGCAAATGATTGCCATTATTATTAATTTCTGACTTTTTCCCAATGTGCGTCGCGTATGAGTGTCGTTTTTGATTCTTGTTTTAAAGTTTTGCCATTTTACAATTTCCAATTATTTTCTTTTTATAAATGTGTTGTGAAATGTATTCATTCGTTTTAAAGTTTTAAAAGTGTTAAAAGGAAATAAAATGCGATGTTTTGGAGAGAGTTAAAAGACTTTTAAAATGGAAATTTTTAGAGCAAAACTTGCTGAGAGAAGCAAAAGTCAAAAAGGAATAGAAGAAATGGTTACACAACTTCAAGCTCAACTCAAGGAGTCCCAACAATACATTCCATTGAATGTGTCCTTATCGGAAACTAAAATAGTTGACTATAATGAAAATACATCGCAGAAGGAACTGTATAACATCCTTTTGACGAAAGAAAAGAAAATCGCCGAGCTCACAGCAAAATCGCAGAAACTCGAGGAAAACGTTTTGGATTTACAAGAAAATTTGAAAGAGAAAGATTCAGTAATTGATGCCAGAACGAAAGCTATTACCTTAATGACAGATAGTTTGAGTAAAAAGGGCAAAACTACTTTGGATGCCCTTGAGGAAACGAAAGAGCAAATGCGCAAAATGCAGGAGGACTTTGTCACATTAGAAGGCGAAATGAAAGCTCGGCAATTGAGCCTTTTGAATGACCTGAAAGTTAAAAACTTTGAGATTGGAGATTTGGAGAGAATTATTAAACAGTTAGAGAATGAAAATGTTGAGTTAAAATTAATTCAATCGGATTTTGATAATAAAGTGCAAATGGAAATAGAAAAGAGAACAGCCCAATCTTCTGAGTTGCCACTGGCAATTAGCTTCTCAGAGAAAGAGACTTTGACGGAAGACCAGATTTTTAAAGAATTACAAAAAATTAAGCACAAAAATGTTGAGTTATTAGAGAATATATTGGAGCGCGGAAAGAATCTCTTAGAAAATCGAAAAGAAGATGCGCAAAAAAAATTGTCTAATGAAAATGAAAAACTTATTAAAGAAAACACCGAATATTCTCAGAAAATTTCTGAATTAGAAAAGCAGTTAAAAGAGGCTCTGTCAGATTTGAATATTTTAAGAAATACCAGTTCAGGTTCAAGTGTGAAAGAAATTGAGGTCAACAGTGAATTGGAAAAGCTAAAGAAACAACTAGAAGAGAGCAATAAGAGCATGATTAAAATGAGAGCTCAGCATAAGTCAAAACTAAAAGAACTGAATAAAAAGTTGGATCAATTTAAAAAGATGAATGATGCCAATGCTCTCATTACTCAGTTGCAGAATGAAAACACAAAATTGAGTGAAAGAATTGCCGAGTTGGAAGAAGAGAAAGGAAATATGCAGCTGAAGATGGTGGAATCCACTGGTAGTTCTAAAGGTAGTTATCGATACTCCTGATTATATTTTTTTACCTGACATTTTTTTAGATTCTAGTGAATTGGAGGATGCGGTCAAAAATCTAGAAGAGACTGTTTCAAGGATTAAGGATGAGGTCACAGAAAAAGATAAAGTTGTTGAAATCTTGGAATCAGGTGGGTCTGTGTTTTTCGAAATAAACTTGACTGAATTTCTGTGTTATTTTGTAGAAGTATTGTCCCTTAAAAAAGAGCTAAACATGAAGAATGAGGAATTCAGTTCTCAGGTTTCATCAGAACTCTCATCTATATATTATGAGGAACAGTTAGAAAAACTACAGGCTGAAAAGAAGGCAATTATGGCAGAAATGATCTCCCTTAAGCTTAGAAATGAGGAATTGTTAGAGAAAGTGGAAGTCTTGAAAAATGAGAAACAAGAAATTAACTCTAAATTAGATAGTTATATACAGGTAAGGCATTTTGGGATTCCTTCGGAGTATCTGGTGGGAATTGCTAATGTTTTAGGAAAACATGGAGTTAATAGACAAACTAGAAAAGCTTAGTGCTGAAAAAGTATCATCTGCTGAGAGCATTGAAATGGTTGAAGGATTGACGCAGCAAGAAAAGTTGGAACTCGCAGCATATCAGAAGGACCTTAATTCAGAGGGTATAATAGATACCTAATACCTAATACGTAATACTAACACAAATATTATTACAGAAACTATCAAATGCACAGAGGATGACAGCCTGGAACCACCAGTCGAGTTAAACGAGAGTGTTTTGCAGCTGAGCGAGGACACGGCCGAATTGTTGCAAAAAATCGAGATGTTTACACAAGAAAGGAAAGAAGTGATGCAAAAAATGGAAACCTTGAAGGACGAAAATAATTCCTTAAATTTGAAAATTAAGGAAATTGAATGCAATAGAGATGTCTTAGAAGAGACTTATGAGCAGTTACAAAACGAAAAAGAGGCATTGATCAATGAGAAACGCGAGCTGATATTAAAATTAGACAATATCCCTGCTGAATCGCATGAAAGCTCTACAGAGTCTCTAGGCGTTTTACAGATGAAGCTGAGCGATTTGCAGAATCAGTATGAAAGCCTCTTGAATGAAAATGACGAATTGAAACAAAATTTACGGAATCTTAATTCACAAATGCAAGAGAAATACAACTTGGAAAATATTTTGATAAAAATGGAAGAACAGAATGGTAATTTGGAATTAAAACTTAAATCTGCGATTGAAGAAGCCAATACATATCAGCAGACGATACAAGAAAACAAGAATGAAATAGCAAACTACTCCCAATTGGTTGTCGATTTGGAGGTCAAGCTTCGTGATAGTGAAAAGGAAATTGAAAAACTTAATCTGGCGATTGCTGATTTAAGTGGGGTTATTTCTGAATTGCAGTCAAAGAACAGCAATTATGAAACAATGTTGTCTGAACTAGATCAGCTAAAATCCACGCTGGGAAGTCAAATGGAACAAGCTCGTGATTATGAATTAGAGTTGAATCAAAACGGCGACACAATCAGTAGACTGAATGGCGAACTCATTGAAATGAACAGAAAAATGTTAAAAAGTCAGAATGATTTGGAAATGCGAGCAAGTGAAATAAAACAACTCAAGAATGAACTTGATAATAAGGAAGAGTTCATAAAGAATCTGCAAAGCTCCATAAACGAAAAGGATAAACATTTTAAAATTGTAAGCGAGGATATCAAGGGTAAATATCTGGGTTTGCAGAAGCAATTGGATAACAATGGCGAATTGATGCAGAGACAGGTAGCTGACCTTAATCAGAAGAATAAAGAGCAGTTGGAAAAAATGAAAAAAATTGCGGCTAACCTCAAAAAGAAGACTCAGGCATATCAAGAATTGCAAGAGCAGTACAGTAATGAAAAAGAGAAATGGGAGTCTGAAGGGAAGGAGAAGAACAACGTTATTACTAACTATGAAAAAAGCGTTGAAATATTGCAACAGCAGCTTCAGACTGCAATAGATCATAAGGAGGTGTTGGAGAAGGAGCTAGGAACACTTCAAGCAAGAATTGAAGAGACAGACAGAAATTATGTAGATCTTCAAAATTACATTTTGGATATAAAACAAAAAGAGCAGAAAGTGCATGAAATCAGTTTGCTGCAAGAAATGTCCGCGAGTCTTCATGAACGCCCTCACAATGAATCAGCATCGTCTGAAATGATTCAGGAAGAGAAGGTTAAAGAGCTGGAAATGCTTCTGGAGACCAAAGAATCTGAACTAGTGCTTTACAAAGACAGGGTTGCAAAATTAGAAGAGAACATTAGGAATTTGGAGGAGGAAAAGCATAAATTGGAGATGGGAAATGTAAATTTAGAGGAACAACTGAACCTTGCTTTGAGTAATTTGAAAGAAAAAGCGCTAGTTGAAGAACAACTGGCATCTAAACTAACTGAAGTAGATGCTAATAATAAGGCTGTGGAGAAACAATTAGAGAGCACTGTTTTAGAGCTTCAAACACTAAAGAAAAAATATAATGAAAACGAGGAACTAAGTAAAAAGTTAAAGATTAAATTAAAGAAAGCTCATGATAAGGTCAACGAATTGAAACTAATGGAATCAAATGTGGAAGAGTTACAAGCTGCCAATGAAGAATTAAAGAAGCATGTTGCTGCATTGGAAGCCAATCAGAAGCATATTCAAAACGAAAATGAAACTTTACAAAAGAGGAACATGTCAGATTATGAGAAAATTGAGGCTGATTATCAGATTCAGTTGGAGGAATTGTTAAGGGCTAAGAATGAACTTACCATAGAATGTGAAAAATTGCAAGAAAGATTAAAGGAAGTTCAAGATAAGGAAGAAGAGTTTATCATGGAAATTGAAGAATATAAAATCAGACTTCATGAAAATGATTCTGCAAATATTGATGAAATAAATAAACTTCGTGGAGAACTTGAAACAGCTAGTGTCAAACTTCAGGAGTCAGTATACAAAATTGATGAACTTAATACGCAGATAGATGTGTTGAAGGGTGAGATAGCGTTATTGAGGGAGAGACGAGCTTCGCTTGACGAAGTTATGCGGAAACCCACAGAATCTGATGCAATAGTTTCTGCTTCTACTCAGACTTGTGAGAACGATAATAAAATTATTAGCCCTTTAAAAGCAGAGCATTCACAGAATATACCCACATTTAATTGGTTCAATCAGGATGATATAAACGACAGGAATGACATTTTCGGGGCTTTGCCTAGTCAGCAAATACGACAGACGGTAAATGTAGTGAAGCCGAGTACATCTCAAAATGTTGACTATATTACTGATGCGAGAAGCAAAAGTGGGGGTACCAAAACTCTAACTCAGGCAACAAATGTTGCTCATTCAGCAGTTGTGGAAAATAACCAAGAAGCATTGTTAAAGAAAATTAAAGCTCTTGAGTTTTTGCTGTATAATGTGGATAAAGAAAACGAGGAAAAAGAGGACGCATTGTCTCAATGCGCCGACTTAGTTACAGAACTAACGAAGTTATTTTCCGAGAACGAAAATGTGTCTGAAAATTCTAATGCCGCAGTGATTTCTTTAGAGTCCCAGGTTCTATCTCAATCCGATGTTGAGCGGATTTCTAAGGAAAGAGGACAGCTAGAAGAAATGGAATTTACACCAATGAGACCTGATTTTGGAATACATTCAATGCCAATTGTTGAGGAGACCATTGAACCAAAAAAAGCCTACTTATGTTATAGCAAGGACCATCAGAAAGAGGGCCAAGAGTTATCTGCTATAGAGTCGCAAGTTCTCTCAGCGAGTCAATTGGATCAAATTAAAAGCGACAAAAAAGTGTTACAAAAGATTGAATTTGCAGAAGTAGGAGAGCTTATGGGAGAGCAACAGCAACCAGTAATTGAACCGTTAGTGCAGCCTGACCATGCATATATATGCCAGACGAAAGATGATAACGCCCATAGCTTAGAAGCTTTTCAAGAAAATGATGATGGATGGGGCTGGGGTCCTGAAGAAGCAAGACTTGAGGAAGAACACATGGTTGGTAACCAACACACACATCAAGTTGCAAATTTGCAATTAGAGGTGCATCAGTTGCAAGACACTCTAAAAATATTGCAAGTGGAAAGAGAAAATCATTTAGAAGAAATTAAACAATTACAAATAAAATCCGGCAAACTAATAAAGAAGTGTAAAGAATTGAAAATAAAATGCGATCAGGCTGGTTCGCTTAGACATCAAGATGATGGTAGTTTCTTCGACTTAAATGAAACAATTCAAGAAGAATTGAAAACCCAAGTTCTGAAATTGGAGAAAAAAATTACCGAAACTTCTACCGAATTGGATAGAGAGAAATTGGAAAAAGCAGAATTATTAAAGAAAATTGATGTGTTAACAACAGCACATGAAAAGATGATAGAAATGAAGGAAATCCAAGATACAGAAGTGTTAAGGTGGCGAAGGAAATACCAAGAAGCAGTGGAGAAGCTTCAGCAGCAAGAATGGGATAATAATGATTTTACAGATATTAAGAAACCAGTAGTAGATGCAGAAGTTTCGGCTAACTATAAAGTAGAAGAGCTGGAAAGAACAATTACAGATTTGACACTTGACAATGACGAACTGCAAGCCTTGCTTGAGGAACAGAAAAAATTGAGGTTGGAAGCTGAAAAAGCAAGAAATTCAGTAGATGAAACGCAAGAACTATCCAAACTAAAAGAGACTAATGATAATTTGAGTAGACAAATTGAAGATTTAACCAATCAAAACACTTGGCTTGCTAAAGCTAAGGAAGAACTTATTGAAAAGGAAGTGATGATTCAAAAGTTGCAGGAGCAAGTCGCCGAGCAGCGCAGTCTACTTGACGTTAGCGCTAACATGCAAAAAACCATTGAAGACTTGAACAACGAAAAAGTTGAACGGGAAAAAGTAGTTGCCCAACTAAGTGAAGATATACGAACCAAAATAGAGTCAGAGGGAATGTTGACAGAAAAGTTACATATGTTGAACCAGCAAATTGAACAGAAAGATTCTAACATTAACAGCTTAAAAACTTCTTTAAATGAGACAAAAAATGTGCAAACAATATGGGAAGCTACTGAAATACAATTAAGGAATGCGATAATTGAGAAGGAAAGTGAGCTTGCTACCATTAGATCAGAGAAAGAAACAAAAGACATGCAGAATCAACAACTTTTGGAACAGTTACAGAATAATGAAGAAAATCGAAACCTTTTGACACAGTTGGCAGCCAAAGATAAGGAAATCGCAGAGCTAGTGGCAGAAAAGGAATTGATGAATCAGGAGATACAAAAAATTTCCAATCAATTAGAAAAGATTAAAGAAAAAGAATTTGAGGAAAGGTTGGAAAATATTGTTTCAGAATTAAACTTAAACTGGCAAGCCCAAGTTGATCAGAGAGGCGAAGATGTAGCTGAAAGATGGAAAGCCCACCTCGAATTGGTTCAAAATGATTTTTCCTCAATTCAAGCGAAACTTGCGACTGATCTATCCAAAGTAGAGGAAAGATGCAATGTTCTAATTAATGAAAATAACGAATTGAGACGAAATGTCGATGCAGAGATTAGGAATGAAGTTGATAAAATTTCAGCTTTGCAACAGCAAATTTCAAGCAGTCAACAAAGTATCATTTCATTGAATGCCGATTTGCAGCAAAAGCAACACGAAATTGAGGATCTCAAAAAAAAATTATTAAATTATTCCTCTTTTGAAAGCGAATTAAATAGTTTAAGGGAGCATGTGGAGGAAAAAGATCGGCAACTGAACAGCATTGTCATCGAAACGAAGCAGAGGCAGTTTGATGAAAAACGAGAAGTAGTTGAAGAAATTGTATCACTCTTAGAGAAACATTCGGTAACTCCCTTGTCCTATGACAAGCAAGATATTGTTAACGAGTTTAGGAGACAGCTTGATTTGATGGACGGAAAGGACGCAGAAATTTCGCAGTTAAGAAACGCGCTGGCAGATATAAATGCCAAAAAAGATCGAGAAATAATTGGTCTTAACCACGTAATTGAAGATTTGGAAAAGGAAGTGGTTCTGCTGCATGAAAAAGATGCCGAGATAGTCAGGTTAACTAGCAGTATAGAAAATATAACTGAAGAGAAAGTAGCTGTTGAGCAGGAATTGATTAAAACGCAACACGAAATTTCGAACTTACAAGTGGTTTTGAATGAGTATAAAGAGAAACACGACAATGACGCGCGAGAAAATTTAAAACTTTTGGAAACTTTGAAAGAAAAAGATAATCAGCTTGACCAATTAAAATACCGATTAAATCAAATTCAAGAGACAAACGATAATAATAAAGAAGTAGAAAGGCTAAATTTTGAAATAGCACAAGGGAGACAAGACTGGGAAGCTTTAAAACAATACGTCTCAGAGTATCAAACTCAATTGTCTACTATGCAGCAACAAATGGCTAAAAAATCCCAAGAGATGGAAGTGATTAGGCAACAGATCAGTGTTTATCAGCAGACTATTAATTCAAAAGATGAAGAAATTAGGTCCCTTCAAAATGCATTGGCAGATAAGGAAATGGAGTATAATATTAGCATGGAACACATTCAAAATAGGCAGCGGCAGTACGAAGAATTATTATCTTCCAGCCAAGAAGAAATAGCAAAACTTCAAAAATCTCTGGAAAATAATAAAAATCAACAAGAGCAACATCTACAGAATCAAAAGTTACTTTCTGAAAAAGATGCACTTAATACTAACCTTCAGGTGCAAATAAATGAAAAAGCAGCCATGATCAAAGAGCTGGAAGAGAAATTGTTTGAACAATCAAAATTGGTTGATGAGGATACTAAGCAATTGGAAGAATTAAAATTAATAATTGAAGATCAAGTTGTAAAAATTGAAGAACTTAAAAAACAACTTTTTGATGTGAGCAATCAATATGATAGTCTTATTGCCGAGATGGACATGAGGCGCCCATCTGCAGTTACGCAACAGCCTTCATCATCTTCAGTTGTGGTAAGCTTCGCCTATACAGGGTTAAATGACTTTGCGTCCAAAAATTTAAATGTAAAAGTAAGAAAAAGTAAAACACTGCCACTTCTATTTCTTAAAGAACCTCTATTTCATGCGTCTACATTCCAAACTCGTTTTCTCTCACCCTGTTAACCCAGAATTAACCTCATTATTATTAACATATCATCAAGGGACATCATGTATTTGTTGCGGTCAGCATGATTGTAAACTTCCTGTTTCTTGCAACAATAAAACACTTTTTTACACTATTTACACAAATCTTTTTATATATAATATAATAATATAACCGCAAAAACTTAAATTGTAAACATTTCTTTAGAATCAGCCTGCTCCTAAAAAAACACACGTTTATGAAGATGATCCTACCGAACCTGTAAGCAGAGCTGAGCTGGATATAGCTCTTTATATGTTGCACCAGCGTGACGTTCGCTGTGAAGAATTAACTGTTGAATTAACGCAACTGCTAGAAGAGCGAGATACTCTTCAGTTGAGACTTTCCAACGCGATTAGAGAAAAAGAGGAGCTTAGAAGACGACTTCCAGGTTGGATATATCTACTTTATAATTTTGATGCTATATTAACGACGAATTAATTTCCCAAACAGGGTCAAGTGCATCATCTCAAGAACAAGATCCGTCTTCAATACACAAAAGTAAATCCTCGGAAATATTTCTGGCAGCAACTGGCACAGAACTGGCTAGAGAACCACTGGAAAGTGATACACACCTAGCTTCAAAGTAAGTAGAGATCTTGTTTAAAAGGTGAATAAAGTGTATTGGTTTAAAAAACGAATTCCATAGAGCAATTAAGAATTACCAGTATTTATGAGTTTTTAAACAGTTATTTGTGGTACTCAGATCAGCATAATTCTTATATGACTAACATGTCGCATAAGATAAGAATCGATGATCTATGAGAACCGCTCTAGTCTGGTTGTAGCACAATTTTAGACTAAACTGCAATAACTGCCATTTTGCGACGGACAAAAAAAAATTAAGAGATCAATTCTGCTCATAAATGAATGCAAATATCTTTTTTTTTAAGGAAATCAGTGGCGTGCCACTGACCGTCTATGAAGAAATAATATTTTGGTTAATTAGGTCGGCACTGCACTGGTTAAATCGAGAACTTTTTTTGTGGAAAATAAAATATCTATCTAAAACAAAATATCTAGTTTTTAGTTATCAACTAGTGTCTTTCAGAAAAAAAAAATAGAAATCTGTTCTTCTTACTTTTACAGTTTTAATGTAATAACATAACATCCTAACAACAAGATAAATAATAAACGATTTTTTATGTATTTAAGCGTACTTCGATTTTTTGAATGTCATATTAACGATATTGTGATGACCACGGAGAGAACAGGTTTTTATTTTTTTAAGCGAAACCATGACATTGAAAAAAATCAAGAAATTAATTTTTTAAATAAATGATTGGAGATTGTAAGAATAATTTTTATTTTAAAAGAAATCAGTGGCGTACTCATCAATGTCTGCCAGGTGAGATTCCGTACGCCACCGTATTTAAAAAAAATATGGCACACTATAATGCCTCTTGATTCATTAAAATATCTAAAGTGTGAAGTAAAGTATTACAGATATTAAAAAAATATATTTTATTGTTGAAAATTTTACCACTCTGTATCTCAAAAGTTAAGACGTTTAGAAGAAATTCAATTATAAAACACCCTGTAGGCATATTGAGCTGTTTATTGCATATGTTACTCCGAACAGAGTGAACAAGAATCCAGAATTGATTTGAATAAATTGAAAATTTTTATGGTCCTACATGTTATAAAGTTTTATCATCTGCAATTTAAAAAATTGAAAAATGTTTAATAAAGTAGTCATTTTATTCCCCCGGTAAACATCATATGTATGTTATCTGCAATAACACAACCAAAACTTAAAGTCGGACTTCTTAATGACCTAGTGTATGAGTGATATAGGTTTACCTTTACATTAATTCTCGTTTTTAAATTCAAGATTGTCAGAGTTGAAGAACATAGGTTACAAAAAGGACAAAACATTCGTCGATGAACAAGAATTGAGGCAAAGACAGCAGTTAGCCATTATGCAGCAACATATAAACGAAGCTTCGAAGTTGCCACCGGAAGCAGCCGCAAAGCTAGTCGACGCCACTTATACCCTTTGTAAGTTAATTCTTCATAATTATAATTCCTAGCTGTGCTATGGGATACCTCACCATTCGCAAATTAATTCTCTAGTGGTGGCGCTGCCAACAGTAAACAAATATGACTCTTTGGACGTATTTAATAATAATAACAACCTTTTACAACCTTTTTCCTGGCTGATTCTAGCTGCATCAGCGAATATAAAGCATCTCATTCGTGATTCAGTTTTTGTGGTGTGTCTTCTTCTTAAGTGCCATCTCCATTCAGTGAAGATCGGCAACAATCATGGCAAATTCTTCTCTATTTTGCGCTTTTCTTAGTGACGTGTGCGAATCTAAACCAGTTCAGTCTCTTATGTTTTTCAACCAATTGTATTTGTCATGTCTCATAAGATGACCGAGATATACTGTTTTTCTATTCTTTATTGTATCGAGATGCTTGTGTTCCTTGTTCACTTGATATAGAACTTTCAAATTTGAAACGTGATCAGTCCATGATATCCTTAACATTCTGCTTATTTTTAATATACATAACTCAACACCGTAAAGAAGGGTGGAGTGCACTACCATTTGACGAAGTTATGTCTTGTGTGAATGCTTAGACTGTTGTCGCAGAGAAGGTTTCGCACTTTTAGGAAGTTTGTTCTTGCCATTTCGATATGTGCTCTTATTTCTACATCGGGATTTACGTCTTCACTGATCCAACTGTCAAAATATCTGAACTTAGAGAGACTCTTGCTATTGGGTATCTCAAGTTGTTCAACAATCTACCATTTACCTTTATACGTCCTCTGTTTCCTTGAGTGCACTTTGGCGTGTGGTTAGCAGGAATTCCAACTTTTACTTCCCAAGTAGTTTTTCACTTTTTTCCACGATTGTAAAATCGGCAATTCGGGAACGTCAGTGTGTTCAGCCTCCGCCCACTTAAGTAAGTGAATTTTACTTGATTTATTGATTTTCATTTTAAAATGGTTATTGAATAAACATTTCGTTCTCAATAAGATTTTCCGTAGTCGGGTAAAGGCGGCGCAAGGCTTAATGCTGTAGAAGTGTTTAACTGTGACTTTTGGTAATAGCGTTCTGACTTGGGTGTGGCGAAATATGAATATATGTATATAGGAATATATATATATATATATATATATATATATATATATATATATATATATATATATATATATATATATATATATACTTAAGAAATGGTTCTTGGGTTTTTTTTGGTCCTTTTTTAGCGAAATTAAAATAAGTTTCCGTTACTTGTGAAACATTTTATTTTTTGTGACGTTTCGGCCTTCAAGACCTTCTTCAGACATTTAATTTTAACCTACAAAAATGTGTTTTTAAATAAAATTATTTATAGCATTGTTTTCCTGGTCATAATTAAAACATAGATAAAAATGTGTATAGGAGTCAGCATTGAAATGATTAAAAATTGCTAGTGCAAGTCAATAGAACAAACAAACTGATTAAAAATTGTATAAAAATAGATGCACAACAATAATACATAATTTTTTATATTACGATTACATACATACCTTAAGCCAAAAATCAACGGTTCACTATATAGTTGTTTGGTAATTTACAGTTTTACAACATTCACAACAGACATATTGAATATGTAAATCGACAAGCCACATTGATAAGACGACGAACCAAAACAATAATGCGAAGCCCGGATGTACGTTTCTTCACAGTAGGACAACGGAGTTTTTTTTTTTTTTTCTAAAGCTTTTTTTTTTTGTTTGTGTGATATTCACGGGTTAATGTGTCTCTTTATTTAATTAAGTTGTGATAAATTTTGCTGAGATTTTTTGTGTCAGTCTTAGAGTTTATGGCGTTTGGATTTTTTTGGATCTCAATCATTTCATAAAATTCCCGTCTTTTTGTGTGCCTTTCTGAGCGTAAAATTTTCACACTTTGAAAGTCAAACGAGTGCTGATTCTCCCTGGAATGGCTCGAAAGAGCAGTGTTATTTTTTTTGTCATATTTATGGCCGTTTAAGCGACTTTTTAAGTATTGACTAGTTTGTCCGATGTAGACACCGTTACAATTTTGGCACGGTATTTGGTACACCACGTGGCTTTTTTCCTCGTCAGGGATTTTTGATTTTAATTTACTAAAGTTTTGTTCTAATAATTAAAATCAAAAATCCCTGACGAGAAAAAAAGCCACGTGGTGTACCAAATACCGTGCCAAAATTGTAACGGTGTCTACATCGGACAAACTAGTCAATACTTAAAAAGTCGCTTAAACGGCCATAAATATGACAAAAAAAATAACACTGCTCTTTCGAGCCATTCCAGGGAGAATCAGCACTCGTTTGACTTTCAAAGTGTGAAAATTTTACGCTCAGAAAGGCACACAAAAAGACGGGAATTTTATGAAATGATTGAGATCCAAAAAAATCCAAACGCCATAAACTCTAAGACTGACACAAAAAATCTCAGCAAAATTTATCACAACTTAATTAAATAAAGAGACACATTAACCCGTGAATCTCACACAAACAAAAAAAAAAGCTTTAGGAAAAAAAAAAAAACTCCGTTGTCCTACTGTGAAGAAACGTACATCCGGGCTTCGCATTATTCTTTTGGTTCGTCGTCTTATCAATGTGGCTTGTCGATTTACATATTCAATATGTCTGTTGTGAATGTTGTAAAACTGTAAATTACCAAACAACTATATAGTGAACCGTTGATTTTTGGCTTAAGGTATGTATGTAATCGTAATATAAAAAATTATGTATGTTTTATTGTTGTGCATCTATTTTTATACAATTTTTAATCACTTTGTTTGTTCTATTGACTTGCACTAGTAATTTTTAATCATTTCAATGCTGACTCCTATACAAATTTTTATCTATGTTTTAATTATGACCAGGAAAACAATGCTATAAATAATTTTATTTAAAAACACATTTTTGTAGGTTAAAATTAAATGTCTGAAGAAGGTCTTGAAGGCCGAAACGTCACAAAAAATAAAATGTTTCACAAGTAACGGAAGCTTATTTTAATTTCACTAAAAAAGGACCAAAAAAAACCCAAGAACCATTTCTTAAGAATATATAAAATCAAAAGGATCCAAGAACTCACAAACTAGAAATATATATATATATATATATATATATATATATATATATATATATATATATATATATATATATATATATTATTGTAGTTGTAATTTCCTATGTAATTTGAGATTAATTTTTCAGCGCGAGACGTACAGAGTCCGTCTAAAGTGTTACTAAATTGGCTGTGGGGAAACAGTACCCCGAAAGCGAACGAATCGTGAGGATTCAGGATTGTAGATAAGCTTATTGTTGGTATTTTATGTAATTTTTAAGTGAGAAATTGTATATTTGTTTATATAACAACTACTAAATGGTTTTCAACTAGTTTGCTATTTCTTTCTGATTTAAAAATAGAATATTATGCAACAAGTTTATCGAGGTGTTGCTCATAAAGTCCAGTCAGAGCAATTGACATAACTGCACCACTGCTCTCACAGAGTACTATACTTTTACATAACAATGTCTCATAAAGTGGACGGTAAAAATTGATGCGCGCTGTTATTTTCATAGATTTCGTATATGTTGGAAGAATGCCCCTAAATTTCACACACTAACCTGTACTTTACCCCATTTTCTTTCTAAACAGCAATCTCCACTCACTTGTTTTCCCATTTAACAAGATCACAGAGAAAGTACATAAAGTCACACATCTAAACTGAAAATTGTCGAACAGGCAAACTGTCAATGACCATGTTGGTCAATGAACGTCGCAAGGTCTTATCGGTTGAAACCGAGATTTGAAATAGCGGATCTTATTGGCCAAAAGAACAATGTCTGACTACATTAAATTTTTCAGTATTTTTGGTTCATGTCTAAAACCTATGAAAAATATCACTGAAAGCGACATCTTATTTTGTTTTATTTTAAAGTGGTTGAAACAATATATTACAAAAATTGTAAATAACAAGATTTATTAATAAAATTAACACAATGGAATAGAATTTGAAAGATTCCTAGACATTAACAGAGTAAAACTTAAAATAATGGAAGTACACAATTTTGCTTTGTATAGGTCCACACGATATCCGTCTAAAAATTTATTAAAATAGATAATTATTTCATTAAAGAGTGGACCACTGCTTTGACATTTAAGGCCTTTAAATCTGTATAAGTTTGACCAGTGCCAACAAAAACTATTGGTTGTCCAGTAATGTAAGTCATTGAAATTGCCGCTCCAACCTAAAATAAAAACCGCCAACGATTGCTGGAAATTTTGGATGCTTGCAGTGAAAAATACAGACAAACAAATCAAATTGCGTGTGCTTGCTAGCTAGCTGCTAGTGAATATTATTATACTGTGCTCACCTTGTCATCAATAGTATCAAATTTTGTTAAAACAATACCATCAATTAAATGTGGCTGACTGGAGGAAGAGTAATCTGCCAGAGCTTGATTGAATTTCACTAGCTGATCTACAGCTTCATTGCCTACTAGTGCTTCCCCAACAAACAATACCAAATCTGGCTCGTTGACCTTAATCAACTTTGTTAAAGCTCTCATCAGAGGTTCATTATCCTAGAAATTATTGAATACATTTCAAAATCAAACAGAAACAAGGAAGAACTCAACCTGCATCCTTCCGGCTGTATCAATCAGGACAACATCAATCTTGGAGTCTCGAGCAAAACGAATTGCTTCCATAGCAATACCTGCGGCATCCTTTCCATACCCTTTTTCATATAATTCAACCATTTGCATACCTCCATGTTTCTGTGGAGGATGTAGGGCATTTAAGTGTCTGGTGTGAGTTCTTAGCTGCTCAACAGCACCAGCTCTGAAAGTATCGCAAGCAGCAATCAGCACCCTTAAATTGTTTTCTATTAACCAGAAGCAAATTTTTGCTAAGTTTGTTGACTTTCCTACTCCATTAACCTAGAAAAGAATTAATTAATCATAAGCACAAAGGCCGCCAACAAACATTACCCCACAAAATGTCATAATAAAAGGTCTGCCCTGCCTTTGGGCTTCTAGACAATCTCTCAAAATATCAACTCTTCTGTTTGGACTTAAAATTTGTACCAAAGAATCTGTTAAAGTATTTTTGACGATGGTGGTAACTGAGTCGAATGTCCCTAAAATTTTTCCTTCTAACTTGGCAGATACAGAATCACACAGCTTTATTGCTATGTCTGCGGCAACATTTTTGCCAATAAGATGATCTCGCATTTTTTCCAAAACTGGTTTGGTATCAGCGGCTGTTAAATTCTTGGAGCCGACCAGGCTTTTAAAAATAGAAAACATTCCGCCTTTAGATGAGGATTTTTTGCTTTCCTGTTGCTGAATTTCTTCGTCAGATTCTTCATCAGAAGATTCCACTTCCAAATCCTTAATTCCACCTTTCATCTGTCCAACAATCTATCAAGGATACAATATTCAGTAGAAAATTTTATAGAAAACACTTTTATTACCTCTGTATCAGCTGTAAAGTGACTTTTAATATCTTCTGGTTTATCAGTAGTTCTTTCCAATGACTGAAGATCTTTGTTTGTACCTCCCAAATCCCAAACTCTTGGTTTTTTACCAGCTTTTTCAGTGTTGGGGCTTTTGGGACTTTTCCTAAAACCAATTTTTCATATCTCAATTGGCAAACACAATAAACAAACATACTTTGACTCTGTTTTTTTCTTTTGCATTTTCAAAGCAAATTTAGCCCTGCTGGCAGCTATTAAATCTTCTTCAACAGAATTTGTTTCCTTTAAGTTATTAGGTGAAGAAGGTAAAGTTTTATTTTCTAAAATAAAAGTTTTGACAATAACTTACACTAATTAAAAAATATAGGTATATATGAGAGACTGCCTTCATATTTTAGTATTAGAATTTGGTAGATTGTTAGTCATAGAAAAGAAAAATTATATGAGACTGATTACTTGATGCATTGTTCATATACAGGGTGTTTCATAACTTATCCACCAGCCAGTAATTCTCAAAATCAAAATAAGATATTTTTTTTATAGACGCACAGTGTTCAGTTATGCAATACCATGTATAGATGTGTCTGTATGTATGTATTACTTTCTGAATCATCTACAAAATTAACTTCTTTTTTCTTGGTAGTTTTGGTTGGTTTTTCTTCACCCTTGCGCTCAATCATAGAAGCAACTGTCTTCTTAGATTTGAAAGATTCTTCAAATGTTCTCATTTGTTTTGGTATATTTGCTTGCACCCTTCCCCATTCTTCTGCCCTTTGAAGCACTTTTTTATAATTACTAATAAAATCAAAATCGGCAAAAAAATGTCGATCCGACAGCTCATTCTTGTATTTATCTCGGAATTCCAAATGCACATCATTTAAAAACTTATCAACATAGGATAGCTGCAAAATTTTCTGATATGCAACCACAAATAGCAAATCAAACTCATTGTCTAACTTATACTGAAGTAATAAGCCGTTATCTTCATAAAGGTTTGTAGGCCTTTCCTAAAAGAATAATAAATAGCAGGAAGAAACATTTCATTAAAAAGTTAATTTATAACTTTTATTAAAAGTACCTGTAAAATGACATTTTGTATCAATGCATTTACAGAACTGGTAAATATCTGATTGGTACTTTGGAAACACCACAAAACGATGCCTCCTTTACTGAAAATTGTAAATAGATCCAACATATTTGTAGACACACTACCACTAGATATAAATTAAACACGTCATTCTATCGTCCAACTAGAAATATCACTAATTAGGTCAGAATCTGGGTCTTCTTCTTTTCTCTTAGCGCAAATGCAAAGTTGCAAAAAATATCAATTTTACATTTCATATTGTTTTCTTCTATTGTTATTTTTTCGTATCTTGCGCATATTTGCGTGTTAACATTGTATGCGTATATAAGTTAAATTAATTATGGATAATTTATAACATAATATCTGAAAAACAAAACAAATCCCATAAATCTGGGGGATTTCATTATTTTCTAGATGTGTCTGTCACTGCCAAAATAGTCTGTGCTCTTCTACGTCCAAACGTCAATGCGTAAGGTTTGTATTTATTTTTATTAATAAAAATCTACAATCATCTCAATAATTGGAACCGTTTTATGCTGGAATTGCTTTTATATCTTGAACTATATAGGCTGATCAGTTAATAAGTTGCCATATTTATATAATTTTTAGGCTGTAAAAATTAGTTGTGATTTATAGGTTAAAATTCGTTGCTTTTTTTGTGTTTAATTAAACTATAATTCAATTTTAGGATGAAACAAATCGTGACAAATCAAACGGTTAAAATCCCGGAAGGGATTACCGTAAGTACTAAATCGCGCGTCATTACTGTAAAAGGACCCAGAGGTATCTTAAAAAGGTCATTTAAACATCTGGCTTTGGATATTCGTATGGTAAATCCCAGACTGCTGAAAGTGGAGAAATGGTTCGGTACCAAAAAAGAGTTGGCTGCAGTTAGGACCGTCTGTTCTCATGTAGAAAACATGTTAAAAGGAGTAACTAAGGGGTACTTATACAAGATGAGAGCCGTATATGCCCATTTCCCTATTAATTGTGTTACCACCGAAAATAACACAATTATTGAAATCAGAAATTTCTTGGGAGAAAAATACATCAGAAGGTACAAACCTTTAAGTTGGTGGTGGCGTCTGTTAGGTTTTTTACTATAATTTCAGAGTGAAGATGGCTCCTGGTGTGACTGTAAAGAACTCGACTGCCCAAAAGGATGAACTTATCCTTGAAGGGAATTCCTTGGAGGATGTTTCGCGATCCGCTGCTTTAATCCAACAGTCCACAACAGTTAAAAATAAGGACATACGTAAATTCTTGGATGGATTGTATGTATCGGAAAAGACAACTGTTATACAAGATGAAGCATAACAAGTATGTTTATTAATAAAGTTTTAAGTTCGTCATTTGGGGTTTTACTGAAACTACCTATTTATACCCTTTTTTTTAAGGTTGGAACTTTCTGTATTTGTTGTAAAGTTAGAGATTTCAGTAAATGCACTAGTGTTGTTTTTTAAAGAAATTAAATTATTGAAAGGAATGAAGGTATACTTCAAGTGAGGGAAAGGGGCTGTTCCCTAATCAGCAATTTTTTGGAAACTGAATTTGCCCATATGCTGAAAATTCAAAACACCTTCAGAAAAATCATCTTTATTTTGTAAAAAATAAATTATATGTAAATCAAAGTACAATATCATAAAATTTAGCTGTTGGTGCATCACAAAAAGTATGTCTTTGGCACTGAATTATATTTGATGAACATTGTGCTGAGATGGGAGTTAATTTAACAATGAAAATAAATAAGATGTGGCAGTCTTGCCTTGGCAATTGGGTGAACTTTATCACCACTTATCTTGGGTTGAAAATCTTCTCAAGCTGTTTTTCCTCTCGTGGATTTTCTGGAATGAAAAACACTTCCGCGTCTGGATTAGTAGGGGCTCCTGATTGCAAGAGTATTTGATTAACATAGGTGTCTCTACTTAGATCTAGTGGTAGTTGGGGCGTTTCTAGCTTCTCTACTGAGCCTAAGGAGTTGTCTTCTAGGATCTGGACCGGTTTCACATCATCCCATTCAGTATTTCGATATCTGATACTGCTTATAGAATTGTCGCTTAATGTTGTTGGATTGGCGTCATCATTCCATGCGCTGCTATAGCGTGTTATATTCTCAGGCCCTTTAGAGGAGTCCATTTCGTCAAATGTTTCGATGTTATTAAATGTGCCAACCTAATTGAGAGAAAATAGTGCGGTGGAAATGAAATGTGCAAAACATATAAAAGAATACTCGCGCATGATTATGAACCCTATGTCCTGATAAACAACAAAGACAAGCGTGTAGGTACCCCTCTATGGACCCTGTGGGTATAACCATACAGGCTGCACTTTGAATCGCACAGGTAAAAAATGTGGGGATTGGAATTTACGACTCTTGTCTTTGTTACTATGTGGTTGTGACTGAAGCCTTAGAGACTCAAGAATTAGAAGAGTTAGTAACAGAGTTCTGAAGCTAGATTAGTGGTGAATGTGAGGGAATATTAAATTAATAAAGCATGGCATACATGTGGTATTTGACATTATATTATTCATCCATTTGAAGTGGAACACAAATTCCAAAAAAAATATTCATGTTGGAAATGTGTTTAAAATGAGAAGCTCCTTCTCTTTTTAATAACAAAAGAATACTACGAAAATACCGATATAAAATGCACATTTCAGAGGAGTGCTTCCAATATAAATAGGTCACAATGTGGAGTACATTAGGTTAAAAACTTCAGTGGTCAGATAATTAATTGACAATCTAACCAACTAGAGGCTTTAATCTATCTTCCACATTTCTATTGAGACCTTTTCTGATTTTAATATTTATAAAAAAATGTTGTATTGACATCTTCTTTCGCTAGTTATGAACGTGACTCTTTGGCACACGTATTTCATTTTTGGTTAAATAGATATTGATGACATCATACTATACCTGGCTATTATTAATCGGTCACAAAATTAATATGCAGTTGTTGCACCTTTCTATTTTAATACAATAATTTTTTGTTAGTGATCATAGTGATCAATATGAGACCCTGGAAAATATTTTTTTAGGTTTCCAAGACGATTCTAAAATTTGTGTCTGAAGTAGCAAAGCATTATTTGAGCAATTTTTGTTATAAAATCTCTTTCACCTAACTATTAAAATAAAGTTCTAGAGGCTGAGTCAATGTTTTTTTAATAAAAAAAAAAAGCTTAGAACCCCTTATAGACTGATTTTAACAAATTTGATCTCCTTGGAAAAAACCTTTATTGGTCCATCAAACCCATCTTATCTGTGATGTGAAAGTTCTTAATGATGCCGTTGGAAACGCGCTTATTTATAAGCAGAAAAAGTCTTTAAAAAATTAAATGCATCAAAATAACTTTTTTTCTATAAAAATGTAGCGAAATAATAGACACCCTTTCTTGATGCATTGTTGCAAGCTTAAAAGATCTAAGAAAGAAAGTTTATATTATTGTTTTTAATTTTTTAGAGAAATGGAGGTTAAATTGCCTAAGTCGTTATGTTACTGTCTACTTTAAAGCAGTTAAGCATGCAGGCACGCATTTGCACTAAAATAAGGAAACTTAAAAAAATTTCTATAAATATTTAATATACACATTTATATATATTTTTACAGTCCTATATTAACAATATTTATTAATTATGATAAGGTCCATAACAATGAAAAATATAATGATAAAAATAATAGATTAGTAAATATTGCAGATGGATTTCTAACGCACAATTATATACGTAAAAATATTTCAAAACATTGCAACATTTTCTTTTTCAGTCCTAAGCGAAATAATTATTATAAAAATGCCCTAATGGTGTAAGTATGTATTTTGTAACAGTGTTATTTTATGTAAAGAAAGGATCCTTGATATAAGCTCGGGACTTAAGCTGCCTTTATTAATTTTTCTGGAAAACTGTTAGTATTACCAACCTCTTTGGACTTGGGGATTTCATTTTCGAAGCTGTTCTCTGAACTTTCCCGGTCTTTGTTGTTGTCCGGGATGGTTTCCGCTTCCTTTTCGGTAGTCTGTTCGCTACTGTCCGGTTTGACGTCTATGATTCGAACTTTGAAAAAGGTGCCACCCAAATCGTCTTGGTTTTCGTATGCCGTCTCGTTGATTACAACTTTATGTCCGTCGATAACCTGCAATCATAATAATAATTTTTTTGTATTTCCATATTAAATGATCATCACGAGGCATCACTTGGCCTAATGTAATTAAACATTTACAAAAATTCTAAAATATTAAAAAGACAGGATAATGTACCATCTGCAGACACGTTAAAATTTAAAATTAAAAGAGTAAAGGTTCGACCGACGACCTCTCGTTTAAATTTATAACTGTTCCCACCCTAACTACGCCAGTGATATGCTCTTATTGCCCGATAATAGGGACGTCTTTAACGAAAAACTTGAGTTGTGTAAAGCGATACTGAGTCTAGGGTTGTAGAATTGACCGGTCCATTTTTTGTGTGTGACCAAAATACCTTTAAAAATACCATGAAATTTATATTTATTTATTGATATTCTGCGTTACGTCGCCGTCGCGTTGTTCTGGGAACCAAATGGAGTCGATATTATTATTGGGATTCCCCAATCGCCTTAAGTGTCGTATTCGGATATTCCTTGAGGAGGGTTATAGGTAAATTGGACATCACATGCAAATAATAATTTAATGTAAAATTATTATTAAATAATTATAGATAACACTCTACCATTGCAAAATGTTATTTAAAACATCTTTTGACTAGTCAATTAAAAAGTGGACTTAGCATAAAGGTCAGAGTTTTTAAATAGACTGAACGAACATAACCAGCGACATAATGAATTGCTTAGTTTAAGTCTAGTCCCAAATTTTAATCATCGCGAATCAGTAATAATAAAATAAATAATATTGTGAAATAAATTAAGTGCTCTGTTGTTCATTTTCTATCATGTTAATTTTGAATGTCTTTAAATAAACTTAATAGACAACGAAAAAGAAAATGACACGTTTCTAATTTTTCCTACTTCACTAAAAAAGTGTTTTTCGCATAAATTCGTAAAAAAAAACATTTAAACAAATTGCAAAATATCGATTCGTCTTTTTTTTTCTCAAGAATAGTTTATCAATTTAAGGTTACGGTTCAAGCTTCCAAGCTAAATATGTTTCAAACTTAATATTTTAAGGGGTCCATTTGTATTAAAAAATTTTTTGAAATCACGTCAAATTTCCTGCAGCCTCCTTTAGGGACTTACATGGAGTCGATATTATTATTGGGATTCCCCCAATCGCTTAAGTGCCGTATTCGGATATTGCTTGAGGAGGGTTATAGGTAAATTCGACTTCACATGCAAATAATAATTTAATATAAAATACACATTATTATTAAATAATTATAGATAACACTCTATCATTGTAAAATGTTATTTAAAACATCTTTTGACTAGTCAATCAAAAAGTAGACTTAGCATAAAAGTCAGAGTTTTTAAATAGACTGAACGAAAACCAGCGACATGATGAATTGCTTAGTGTAAGTCTAGTCCCAAATTTTAATTATCACGAATCAGTAATAATAAAATAAATAATATTGTGAAATAAATTAAGTGCTCTGTTGTTCATTTTCTATCATGTTAATTTTGAATGTATTTAAATAAACTTAATAGACAACGAAAAAGAACATGACACGTTTCTAATTTTTCCTACTCCACTAAAAAAGTGTTTTTCGCATAAATTCGTAAAAAAAAACATTTAAACAAATTGCAAAATATCGATTCGTCTTTTTTTTTTCTCAAGAATAGTTTATCAATTTAAGGTTACGGTTCAAGCTAAATATGTTTCAAACTTAATATTTTAAAGGGTCCATTTATATTAAAAAAATTTTTGAAATCACGTCAAATTTCCTGCGGCCTCCTTAAGGGGCTTACATCTCCACAGGGGTGTTAGTTTTTCGTGTTCTATCTAAATTTTATAGATTTCCCGCATTGTCCCAAACACTAGGTATAGCACCATCGCTCCTAACTACCATTTTTTTTTAACTTTTACTACCTCGTCTACGTTGCTGCAAATGTATATTTACCTTAGTAACGGAGGTTTTGTTAGCCTTTCCCAAGTCAATATCACCGAAACGTGGGAAAACTGGTAGACCTTCCAAAGCAAAGTCCGGAATTTCTTCTGTAGAATTTCCCCTCTTCAACGGGAACCTCTTCAGTAGATCTTCAATTTGTTGCCGCATTCTCGTCATAACACCTTGAATATAAAACATACCACTTCTGTAGACAACATTATATGATTGTGTTTGCGACCGTATATGTTTAAATTAAAATAATGTGGTTACCAGCTTGCTACTGACATAACCACCCAGTTATTTAATACACTGTGATGACCAAAAACGTATGAAACCATTAAATGTCTGCAATGTTATCGAAATGTAGTAGTGGAATTAGACATTAAGTTTTTTTTACAATTATTTTGATATCTGATACTTCGATATCTCTAAAAATTACGGGGATTATATATGGTTCCAGACAATATTTGAATATCACAATGGATCGCAATTCATTTTTGTGAAATTGATAATATAAATGCAGTGCTAATTTTTAAACGCCCAAATGCTTCGCAGAAATCACGATTCTTATCCGTCACTTTAAACATTCGATTATGTTAAAATTCTACGTTCCGAGACCGCAAGCTTCCGATAAGAATCCAAACGTTATTGCTATTTTTAACCTGAACAGCATTTGCACACTTTGCAGGCCATTTTTAAGTCTTCACAAATTCACAACCTTTCGAAGATTTGGAATAAACTAACTCCCGGCTTTGCATTCTGCGGAAACAAAACAAAACACCCACTGTATATGGGGACGTGGGTTGCATTAAATAGGTGTAGAATAATCTAGCAATATCCTACAGAAGACCTTGTGCACTTCCAATTAAGGGACCTTTGATGCTACGCTATTTTAATTAACAAATTACAATTATTACTGGCGTAGGTACTATTGTCGGCAGCGAGCGCAGCCTTGTTGCAGTAATTCAAATAATACCAGTCTTTGGTTAGTTAGTCGGCAAAGTCGCTTTTCTATATTCGATTTTTCTAACATCTGCATGTTAGAGAAAAGGTGTTTCCTAAATTGAGTCTTTTTTGAAAAGCTTAGAATGCATAGACATTCTGTCACCAAAAATAACGGACGTTGGACATCAGATCTTATTTATGGACGGTAATATGCAGAAAAACTAATTTAATTAGTTTTCTTAGTTTTTGTTTGTTATTTTGTAACTTGCTTTTTAAAATTAATCATTGTTTATCATTCCATCAAAGCTTACGCGATGATTTTTGTGAGGATCTAAGATAAAAAGATATATTAACAAGTACCCTGCGCACAATTTCTAACGTGCACCTCGAGAAATTGTTTCCCAAAGTCTGTTTTCGGCGAAGAAATTAAAATGCAGAAACTTAATACATCGAGTAAGCAAGTCTTCAAACACAGCAATTCTGAACTACCTCAAATTCACTCAGGGTACTCTCAACCTCAATCTGTAAGTTTATTACATATAAACCACAAACTGTTATTGGATAGATGTTCGTAAGTGAAGAACTAGCGGGTTTCTTTGGCAGCAAAACAAAAACAATACAGAAAACAAAAAACAAACAGTAGCAAACAAGCGTTGTCCCTGGTCTTGGGTGTATTGTTGAACATATCGACAATATAGTAATCACTGTGTGAGAATAATTCAAATAATACGTTATGTATGCAATTTCTTCCCAGAAATGTTATTATAGAGTATGATTTTTTAATTAAAGTGAATGGAAAATCCATAAAGATTACAGATGTAGATAAATTTCTTGGTTTGAACATTGTAGCTCCCAAGATTGATTGTGTATGGGAAAACATTAGTTCTTTGTGTTTTTAGTAAGAAGATGAAAAGGAACTGTTTCTGAAGATGTTCCTAAACTTTGGTCATCGTTTGTTAATTGATCAAAAATGTCTTTTCTACCTTGTTATTAAGGGTTTTAACAAAATATGGAATTTTAATGATGTAAAAGTCAACATGAATTTAAAACCTAACTTAATTATCCTAGTTGTATTTCACTTATTTCATTAGTTTTTAATCGTATTCCTATCCTACAGTTTTTGGCTTCTTTTAAAATTAATTGTCTATTTTGAATATTCTGTCCTTTCACTGGTCAACTTTTTAAATGTGTGTTGACTAATTTTATTATTTAGTTATGCAGGTTCATAAATCACGAAGCTGAAACAAATCTGAATAAATAATGTTAATGGTATCCGGAATATGTTCTGATAGCAAAAAAGTATTGTTATTAATATGTATATCGGTATACATATAATTGTCCATGCCTAGCAAAATTCTTGTCATTTAATATTTAGAATACAAAAGCAATTATGTTTTTTTGTCAAGAATCTTATTAATTTGCCGTAAAACTCGGATGGCAGCTTTTCCATTAACTTTGTTACTTGGAATTTTTTTAATACTTGTTATGATTCCATTTGTGTTTTAATGGGGAAATCCAGGCAAGTTATTGGATTCAAAGGTCAAGTTCACACGTGATCCCGCTTAGATATTCAGAGATATGCTTATTATATATTTGGCGTGTGTTGTTTGGTTAGTCATATTTGTACTCTACGCAGAAGCTAGAGATCCACGGCAGACACTCGACATAAAGGTAGACAACTTACATCGAACAAGATTTTCTAAATACCACTCGACAAAAATAAATTTCAATAATTCAATAAATTCCTCATTCGCGAATTGTTACACAGATTATAAAATAGCACTAATATACAGGGTGTATTAAAATTCAAAACAACGTTTTCAAGGACATATTTATCAGTAAAGTCTGTTTTTTATATTAACTTTTTTTTTATTAGCCTCTTACAAAAATTTACCTGATTTTGACAAAACTAGGAACGCTTATTTGTCGTATTTGGTAATTTTTTTGGATATTTCAAAGTAAAATCGTGGTACGCCACTGATAATTATGAATAAATTTGTTAGATCTAACACTCAAAAATACTTTTCGTGTCTAGCTTCGTTAATAAAAAATGGAAATCGGTATTTCCTTTATGTGTCATACCGTTCAATAAAAAAAAAGTAGGATTAATAGCCAAATTTTCTCTTAAATGACATTTAAAATGCACTTGTTTTCGAGATATTGGCAAAAATAGAAAATTTTGACCGAGAATTAAAGTCAGTCAATATTGTTATTAAAATGGTGTTTCGCCAATTTAGCGACCGTGAAAGAAACGATATTTGAAATACACTATCAGAATAATAAAAAGTTATGGTCTGTTCATAGATATAAGAAAGTGACCAATTGCTTTTGAATGGGATTATCCAAGGGTGGTCATTAACATACAATGCAACAAGATTATTACATAAAGTTTCGAAATTTAAATTCAGGTAAAATTTTGGTCCGTAATAGAAAATCATTTTATACCTGTGTTTAATATTCTTTGGTTTGGTATACTATTTAGTTTAAGTTTATTAGTAATCATTCTTATTTCGTGTGTAATACAGTGTTGAATCGTGTGCGAATTATGCAAAATATGTGCGAGTCTAGTGTATCTCAGGAGATACTCCCGCCCAAATGTAGAAAACACTATTCAATTGAGACTAAGGAAGTTATAAACAATGTTTATTTGACTCTCATTGAACGTGGTGCCAACAAGCAAGCATCTTTAGAAGAAACGGCCACATTGACGAAAATTCCAACATCAACTGTATGGAAAATTATGAATAATCCCATTTCAGCGAGGAGAAAAAGAAGCGATGCTGACATTTTCTCGAGTGTAGATGAAAGTGATCAAGATATAATACGGCCTAAAATTTACCAGTTATACGAGGAGCAAAGCGTGCCTACATTAGAAATCTTAATTAGGAGGCTTGAAACAGATGAAACCGGTGTTAAATGTGGCAGAACTATCTTATGGAAGTTTATTCAACACATAGGTTTTAGATTTAAAAAAATTGACAAAAGGCAAGTTTTAATGGAATCTTTTAGAATTCGAAAATGGCGACTGGAATGTCTAGAAAAAATTAGGAATTACAGAGAACAAAGGACAATTATTTACTTGGATGAAACCTGGTTCGACGCTTATGATACCCCGGAATAGGGTTGGGTTGACTCAACTGATAAGTGTGAAACAAACGCGCCATCAAAAAGAGGTAAAATAATAACTATTTTGCATGCTGGCTCTAAAGATGGTTGGATTTCAAATCGATTTTCTCTGTCTACGAAAAATATTAAAGATTCTTCTCTGGCTTACCATGAAGACACCACCGCTGATTTATTTGAAAGCTGGTTTAAAAACAAACTAGTTCCAAACATTCCTCCTAATAGCGTCATTGTAATGGACAATGCAAGTTATCACAGTAGACAGTTGACTAAAACCCCTTCCTCATGTGACACGAAAGCAACAATCCAAAACTACATGTATAATAACGACATTTATTTTCACGAAAATTATACCAAAAAGCAATTAATTGAGGTTCTACAAAGATTGAACCTACAAAAGGAATACGTCTGTGATAATTATGCATACAGTTTTAAGGCTTCCCACTTTACCACTGTATATTTAATCCCATTGAACATGTTTGGCACCAACTGAAATTTGCCATTCGTCGTAACAATGTTTTTCCCCGTGTTAACTCCAATGTCCTCAAACTTATAGAAACCGAAGTTTTTAACATCCCTCCACAAAGTTGGGGGCAAATTCTGTTAAACATATAGAAAAAGCAGAACAATCGTATATCCATATTGCAAATAACATAGAACAAATAATAATTAGAACAGGCGATGACAGCGATAATGATACTGATATATTATGTGAACAATTTTAAGTAATTTAAATAGGTGATAAAAATAATTTGTAATTTTGTTTTAGATTTAAACATAAATACATAAATAAATAAATAAATATTGTTTAGTATCTTTCCTAAAAAACCCCAAATAATTAAATTCTAAGCAAAGTACGGACCTGTTCGGCCATATTTCATTCTTATAGCTTGACCGGGTCTTTCCTTAATTCGTATCAGTGAGTCTCTTATATCTATGAACAGACTTTAACAGTCCCCAGTATCCAGACTTCCATAGCGATGAGTTCCTTGCAATCAGATGCAAGACTCGCAAAGAAATTTGGAGAAATTTATAATGTAAATATCAAAAAAGTGTGTCGAAATAAACGTGCTTTGAGTGAAGAAAATTAAATAAATGTACTATTGTTCTTTGAATAATATCCGGTTTCTTCTAATACCGCAGTCTTTGAGGAGACAGGTATTTTTCGCAGTTCAATCCACTTAGTTTTGAAGGAGTATTATTACACAAGCCTAGTGAAGAAGAATGCCAAAGGAGGATGCAGTTTTGTTTGGAATTTTTATATAGATATAACTCGATATATGTATGCGTTTTTATTTCAGGGTACCAGTCGATTAATCTTTGGTGTGAGTTATTTTTGTTCGATAAATATGCCCGTAAAATCTTTGTACTTCATCTTAAATCGCACATGTTAAGTGCTAATTGGTAATAATAAAAAACACAAAAGATAATCGTTGTAAGATAGAGTGAATTTGTTTCTAAGGGGTTCTGGAAATACGATAAATGCACTTACTTTCTATATTCTCGAAGAGTCCGCCGAATGGGTTCGAGAATGGTCCACCCCATCCGTCGAAAGCACCAGTGTCGACGATCGGTTTATCACCAAAAGGACTCCTTTCCGGTGGTACAAATTCGACGTCGTCCTTCTTCGATGCTGAAATAACAGGAAATTATCATATGAACTAGTATCGGCATAGAATTGTTCGGTTCAATAGTGAATCTCGTTTCCCTCGTTTTGGTTCTTGTATTAGCCGTTAAAAATACCTAATAATAATAAAAATTAACCTGCGTCACGCATGTGACTAGAATGTTGTTAGGAATCGCGATCGGACGCTCAATTAAGAACGGCACAGTGTTTAAAAACGAAGAAAATTCCTAACGAAGTGCGCACCACTAACTAAACGCCTCCCGAACAAGATATAACATTGCGTACTTCCTCCAGAGTATAGGGTTTTCTAGGGAAGCGAGAGAAGAAACTACGTCACAGGTTTTGCTGATGATAGACAGTTTGGAAAAATCGATATAGGAGTTATTATTGTGCTACATATACGCCGAAGTTCTTTGTCTACTATCAGATACGACTTGAAACCCTCCCATTTCAAGTCGTTCCAAGTGTCAAGCTATTGCTAACACAACCAGAGTTGTGTAGTGCGTAATGGGGGCTATACACAAGCAGGCAAGTCCGCGCGCAAGTGTGTCCAGATAAGTCCACGAGCAAGTGCGAAACGAATTGCGGCCACACACTATTCAGGTCAACGTCGCGGTTCACTGGTTGATGGGGCCTGCTGCTTTGCGAAAAATTAAGTTGACCTTCGCACTTGCTCTAAAAATCAGACTCATCTGATTCGCTTCAAGCCGCGCTTAGAACTGAACGTGCCGTGAGTTTTGACACATACACATTGGCACTTACTCGAGTGTCTCGACACTTGCCTGCATGTGTATAGGCCTCTTAACCAGAATAATCTTCGGAAAGAAATCATAACTGCCATGTCAATATGCGCAGTTTCAAAACTAGACATTTCAAATTCAAATTCAATTTTTTTTTACCGTAGAATATCGATTTTACCGCTCAGCGCAGAATTTTTTTTCCAAACATTTTTAAATAGTTATGCATTGTTTTTGTTTTGTATTTTTTAAGTAAGATGTGAATTGTAATAATATACGCTAATTTTTATTGTAAAAATTGTAAAACATGTATTTGAAGATTTTATTTGAAATCTGGTTTGGAAAAATTTGAAGCAATCAAAAACATGAAAAGAAATTTCTTTCTTTGATACAAATTTCGTAAATTATCGATTTATCGACCTTCGAAATGGAATCATGTGAGGTTGTGAAGTCTAGATCTTAGCAGTTTCTAACGGGAATAATTAATAAGGGCATGATTCTAAATTGTCAATGACTACTTTTCAATCCTCCAATGTTAACATTTTACGTCATGGCATCTTTTTTTTTTTTTTTTGAAAAACCTTACCTGAATACAAAAAGACAAGACTATATCGTACCTAAAAAATCAGATTTTTGGTGTAAAAAAATAAAATTTTAAGCACGAAATATTTGAGTCAAGCATTTCTTGACCGAAGATGGTGTTTATTTGAACGAACAATTTCAAAATCTTAGATCAAAGTAAATATTTTTGTACAATTGGATTTCGCTATTACTTGTTGTAAGATAATTTGTTCGTTTCTGTCAATATTATGTCTCTCATATTCATTAAAAAATATTCCCTTTGAAGTCAAGATGGCGATTCTTGAATCAGATCTATAATTAGGGTGTATATCCTCATAACTGAAAAATAATAATAAACTGAAACCAGCGAATTGCTAGGTGTTTGTTAAAATAATATACATTTATTTAGTTTTGGCCATATCCTTGGCTTAAATGAGTTTGGAAGAAAATGTATTTTCGCTCATTTTCTTTCCGGTCAGATGCGAGTACTCAATTATCGAAATTATTTTTCAACCGATCGGTGCACGCACGCCATTGCGCAAATCATTCGTTTCCGATTTGGTTATTCATTCGTTTTGTCAAATGCATAGACGTACATGCCTATTTACAAGTAAATTTCGTCATTTATTCATCCTCAATTATTCTTTTTTGTGTTTTGCCGAGTTGCGTGACAGGTTTTACTACATTATTTGTTTACAATTTCGAATTAACCGATGCATTCTGGAACATAACAATTTACATTTGGTTAACGTTCAAGGTGAACGGGCCATTAGCTAGGCACAATTGATCTCGGTCAATTAGTATTTCGTGCACAAATTGTTTTTACTGCCAAATGTTCCAAATTTATTTCGCACTAAACATTGCGCCGACACTTTCGGTACAACCGAATAGATTCATGAGAATAATAAATATTCTTATTAAGGTTTGACATTAGGTAAGTGTTATCGGAAGTTCATGATGGGAAGGACAAACTGAATATACAACTTGGTAACATCGACTATGTTTTCTTTAAAACAGTTCTGAGATTTTTCGAATATTTGGGCCTCAACAGGGCAGAACACTCGCACAGACTGTGCTCTATCTACACTCTACTCTTTATGTTCGCACACTCTGTTTATGATATAAAAATTAAAATTAGAAAGTTGCACATGGCATTACGATATTTGGCAGCAATATTTCTGAAACTGTGATTTATTTATTTCACTCTGTTCTCAACATCAATTGGTGCCGTTCAAATAACGTCTATCTGTTAAAATTTGAATATTTACATGGAGAAATACCCTTGTTATTAATAAATTTGTTCTTATTTAAAGAAATTGCATAAACTCCTTTTTCAGTAATTTCAGGATATTGAAGAAAAATGAATACGACTTAAGGCCTGAAAGTGGCAGCGACAATCCAAAAATGATTATTGTTAGGTGTCAATTTGCATGTATGTTAAGCGGTAAAACACTTATAAAGATGAATTCTAGAACAAACTTGATTATATTAAAATTTTTTATATATAAATATTTTCCTTGTACACAGCCTATAAACGTGAAGTGAAAAACATTGTGTAACATTTAATAAAATGTTTTTTGTGTTGGAAATATTGACCATTGTTGACCTAGGAATAATTGCCCGGAAAAAGCTAATTAATTTATATGTTCGCCATTTTTTCAATTAATTTTCGATTTTAACATGAAGGGCTAAAACCAACCTATGTAAAGAGAACAAAGATGCAAATACACTGGCGAGCAAAATTAACGCACCACTATATTATTTTTGGAAATTCATATAAAAATAAAAATATTTATTTTTATCGTAATCTGGCATAGCACATACATTCCAAATTTATACAGTTGTTTTTATTTATTCAAGTCTGTTCATCTTATTTTTATTTTTTTGGAATGCCGATAAATAACATTCCTCCTATTTTAGAAGTTTCATTGTTAAAATTTATCATTTGCACTAAAAATTTACATTTGTGTAGTAAAGTGTTTATTATGAAACGCCAATCTAGAAATTTCGAGGGATGGAGCTTTCGAAGAATTGGACAAGAGATTTGATCTATCGCACACATCCGTTTCTCGTACGATCGAACGTGACAAGAAGACTGGTCAGCACTTAAGAAGACCTGGTCAAGCAGATGGACTGAATCTGATCTGAGCCCAGCGCGAGGCCCAGCTTTGGCCCTAGAGCATCGTAGAGCAAGGTTAAATTTTGTTAGAGAACACACCGATTGGGACGATGAAGATTGGGAAAGAGTTCTTTGGTCAAATAACATTATCCGACGTAACTTCCAAAATACTAGATTATTTGGCGGAAGGTCAGTTATGTTGTGGGAAGGATTCTCTTTAACTGCTCATACTGACTAATAATAATTAATTAATAATTAATTTTTAATAGTAATTAATAAGGAAGGTCCTGCAATAACATGTGATACCTTTTGGCCCTTTTATTGGTAAGAATTTTTTGTTTCAACATGATGATGGTCGTCCGTATGTTGTTCAGATTGTGAAAATTTGCCTTGATGAGGTTGGAATTGACTTGGAATGGGTTTACTGGAGATATTGTCCAAATATGAAATTTTTTTTTTTTTTTTGCTGAATTTTCTGTTGCTTATTATTTTTTTTTATCTTCTTTTGGGATATTTTTCGAAATATAGTAGTGTGGTGTGTTAATTTTGCTTGCCAGTATATCTCGGAAACTATGAGAGGTAATTAGGGCTTACTATTTAAAAAAAAAGATATGATATTTTGGAGTTTCATTATTTATTGCGAATATTTCGCGAAATGGCAGTAATAAAAAAAACTATTAACTTTAGCCATAACATAACAAACAAACTTAGCAAAATATATTTAGAATTAAGGGTACAATTGTAGAATTCAAATATGATGCAATGTATATCGAATTCCATAAGAAAAAACAACACCCTGTATAAAAAAAATTTAAGACTAACTTTGTTTATATTTTTTTTTTTTTTTAATTTGACTTTGCACGCTTTTCATTACCACAACTGATAAAGATATTCAAGCATCCTCCACGACATTGCCTGTTTTTGAATATCTGAGATTTAAGAACACTATACAAGCATTCAGCATGGAAATTTCTTAACACAACGTAAGATGGTCAACGATGTGTCGATGTATTTGTATTCGACACCCAGCAACTTATTAAACATAAGAAAGAGATCGTATTTCATTCGGCAATGAGTGCCACATAACATAATGTTGCAAGCGGCAATCTATATTGCAATAATAATAATCAAAACAATTGGTAAATAAATGTTCCATATAACGTCTAGCAATTTTTTTAAATAAGCACGTATATGGGATCGGGTTCTTTGGGCGTTTCCACTAACAACATTACCCATTACAAAATGTTGATTAAAATTTACGTAATATTCAATATGTGCACAGGGTGTCTCGTTACTCAGCCATAGAGAAACAGGTGATTGATATTTATTAATATCAATATCAGTAGCAAATATTTGTTCTTCATCTAATTTTTTGTGAACACAATTCTGGAGTCGAGTTCGTAGTCACAAAAAATTGAACTCTAATTTCAAGACACCCCGAATACTATGAAAACTTCGTATTTCCATTTTGATGATGATTAAAATAATTAGTAATTAAAAATAATCTTGTCAATGTTAGCTTTCACAAACAAAATGCTAATGTTGATTAGAATGCAAAGGCGACGAATAATAATAATAAAAAACGCAATGTCAGTTGTTCGTAATATCTTGCACAAATAAGCATAATTTTTTCATTTACTTTATGGTGGCAGCTAAAAGTTTAAAAAAATGACGCCAAATCTCCACACCTCATCATAAATTATTTTATAAAATTTAATATTGCCGGGGATTCATTTTTAAATAGAAATCAAATTGCAACAGCAGCAAATGACATGAATTTTCTTTAATAGTAAACAGCAAAAGTCAATTTTGAAGAAATAAATTAATTCAAAACTGACTTTTAATTCCAGTCAAATTTTAGCTGACGCAGGGTAATCAAAATTGTAATGAGTTAAAATTTAAACAGAAAACTTACCAAAACTGCTTTACGAAATTAATCGAAAAACGAAAAACTAAATAAACCATGTTTAACCAATAAATAATAATAAAACCACTTGTCAAATTACACAACACAAGAAGAATTAATTAAAAATTAGGACTTTCGTCAAATTGTAAGGAATAACCAAAAAAGGGCATCATTTCATAAGATGTTGTGCATGTCAAATTAACGATTCAATTAAATAACACAAAGAAATAAATATTTTTATTATTAATGCCGTGAGCATGCAAGCATAATAAATAAAGGTGATATGCGCGCATTGCATGCATTTTAAGTATAAAATAAAGAAATAAGTGAAGTTCATAGGTTTTTTTTAATCCAAGTTTGAGGAAAATCCTGATGATGATAGTTTTATATTATATTATCGGTTTAGTGGTTTTATTTTTTTTTAAACCACTTTTATGGACAAACATCCCCTTCGTCTCCTCGATATAAACTAGCTATAAATGAAAAGATCCCTTTTTCCTTTATTTGTGTTTTCAAGGAACAGTTCTGCAATTGTGCAATTACATTATATTAACGTTAAAATTTAATAAGTAAATACTATCTTTATTTCATCGATTTAACTGAAACGTCCAAACTAAAACACAAATAAAACATAGACATTCACCAAAATAAAGTTTGTATAGTGGCTAGGCAATGTCCATCAACAAAGCTTACCAATAACAATAGTTCACAGCTTAGCAGCAATTTTTATTCGTTGTTTCGCTGAAGTGTCCAATAAGTTATCACATTTATGAATCACAAATAAAAAAAAACGGAACATTAAAGCAGAAAAGACGTTATAACTCCTATTGTATAACCCGTAGAACGACGCGCAAAAACTCACCGGGTAATCCAGAGCACACGGCAAGGAAGCCCAAAGACAATATCACAGCAGTTATCACTTTCATTTTTCGCTAAAAAACAGTCAAGTGTTACGAATCGATGCCCCGCAAAACAACAAAAATTGATTAACAGTACGCAGCAGTGCGTCGCCGAATCAGCTATGTGTCCTCCTGCCTTTTATCAATATCAACTCCAGCTAAAAATACAAACGCTATATAAGCGAACCGGATTTCTGTCGAACTTGCGCGCAAGACCAGCCAGTGGGTTACTTCTACTTCCTGTGGTAACAGATTAGATCGCGACGGGCTTTGCTGATTTGAGCTTGCGAAGCTCCGTGCGAGTCGTCAAATATTCAAATAAAAAAACACGTTTCGCAAAATGCGTCTGACAAATATCGTTTGACACCACGACCGAACAATTTGATTTACGCAGAAATGGGGACAGTTTCGGAAATTCATAATTTATTATGAAAGTACAGCAAAATTACAATCCATTTTTACCATTTAGTTCTATTCAAAGGTAAATAAATAATGCCTCCACTTTTTTTGGGATAACTTGATATTTCTGCTTATAAAGTGCGTTTTATACGAACAACCAATAATTTTAATTTTCTCGTAAAAGCGCCCGTAAAAGTGAAATTGTACCAACTTCTTGTACAATAAATTGCAATTCCAATGAATTAGAACTCTGCAATAATTTTTAGTTTTTTGTTACATTAGGAGCACATTAATATTTTTGGTTACCTTTTTGTGTTTTGGAATTATGATAATTTTATTAGCAAAAAGTATAATTTACTTCTCATAGGTCATACTCCATTATCGAATCTATTTGCATTTGGTGTGTCCGTTACTTAAATTATTGCCTTAAGCAGGTTAAAATTAAAAAACTTCGTGTAGCGGATTATGTCAAAAGCTATCCAACGAAATATGTCCCTATAGTCAAATTTCCAACTTATAATTGTTTATCATTTAGACACAATTCCACGCTAGAATAGGTGCTGCATGTGATCAAACGTTTACCAATTATTATGGGGAAATCTAAAACTTTTTCAATCTTTTGTACCCAAAAATAAAAATTGTGACTATCTATATATCATATATCATCGTAACCCGCCGAAATTTGCAGTTGTTTTTGTTAGCATTTGCGAATTCTTACTGGAAAAAATATACGGGAAAAACCCTACATGGCAAGCAAATCATTGTGGTACGATCCCACCCGACTTTGCTAGAGCGTGATTCGCATTATGGTTATAAACGTAGTATGAAAAGTCAGTAACCTTTATGGACAGATATGTACATTTTGTATTCCGTGATCTAGCTAGAAATAAGCTAGAGCTACTTATTAGTAGAGATACTTATACTTATACACTGGTTATGAAACAGTTAACTCCCTTTATACCTATATGAAAATGACAGGTACTAGGTATTTTTTATGATTTGTGCAGCTTTGTTTAAATTTTAAATTCTGTATTTTAATTTACCTCCAAAATATCGTATCGAGTAAACAGTATACATATTAAATTTATATATATCCGATATGGTCTAGTGGCTAGGATACCTGGCTTTCACCCAGGAGGCTCGGGTTCGATTCCCGGTATCGGAATCATTTTTTTATTATAAAAAAATAAAAATTACAAAGAGTTCTGAATTACATGCTTGTGGTGTTAAAATTAAAACAATTTATTTTTGAATTGTAGGTAATTTAAAAGTTGCTAAATTCAAAAAGAATAAATATGTTCGCAAAATTATGATCATAATATATTTTATAGTTGCGAAGTACCTACTTATTTGAATAACAATTCACCATAATAAACAATGCAATCATCAGATTTCCACAATTTTCTGTAAACAAGTAGATTTTCTTGATTCCTTTGTTAGATTTTATCATTACGAAATTGCTATTTTAAGAATAACTTCTCGGAACGCTAACCGATCGAGTCTTCTTAGCTGCAGTTTACGTTGTGTTCTTCATGAGTAAACGATGTTATAGGTATATATGATGTCATTTGATGAAGTATATTTCGTATTTTGGTGCGCGAATTGACGTCATCAATCTTAATTTGTTGTTTAATGGAGGACGAACCGATCCATATCAGCTTGTGATTCATTTTTTTGAATGAGCAATAATATCCTTGAAATTAGTTATTAAACTATCCAACTATAAGCTATAAGAGATTAAATCAATCATAAAAAGCTTTGCATACTGGATATTATTTAGCGTCGATTTTGGTAAGATAGTTTTAAAAGCTTTTCCAACAATGGGCGACATCTAGCAGCAAGTGTCCACAGCAGGAGAAGCGCTGTACAGTTTTCATTAAAATCATTTTTAATGTGTTTGGTTGGTTGCATAACCCGTTGACTTATTGAGTTATATGTCCGACGTGGTTGAACAATTTTTCTCTTGTAGAAAACATGCTGCTGGCAAGTTCAAAATTAATCTGTAATGTGATTTATTTTTTAGGACCGAACTTGTGTCTGCTATGTACTCTCAGTTCGAAAATCGAAAACTTAATTCCCTTCCTCCTGCTGCGTGCTGCCAATAAAGCTTAAAGTTGCTTGACTGTTATTTGTTATTCAACTGTTTATACATCCGTGGTAGGGGAAAAATTCTGTTAAGTTCACGAACGATGAACAAAACCAGACTGTGCGGGTAGTCACAGCGGTTTGCAATTGTTTTTTTTTGTCGCTTTAGTTTTTAGTTTGGGATGTTTGAGTGAACAGTATGACGTAGACTTTGTTTATATTTTGCCAGGATTTGTTTTGACGTGGAGGCGTGATTTTTTTCAGTTCTGTGTTTTCATTCGTGTTTATTTTTGGAAATTTTTAAAGCCAGGTAGTGTTCCTGTTCCTGGTTATAAAGGTTACATTCCGTGCACTTCAATTTTGATCGGATTGTCTCTTCCGTAGAGGATCAAAAGGCTTAAAAGTGACGTTGTTTTGTGTGCCTCGACAAAAAAGGTCATCTCAGAACGAAGGTGTAAGTGCAGATTTTAATTGTTTAATATAAATATTTAAATTGTATGTGCGCCTGCGTTGTGTTCATGCTTTAAAGATGATAATTCCATGGGTGGAATCGTTTGAAAACTTCATTTTAGGTGCAATTTGCATCACCTAATTTTAATATCCTATTCTAATTGAATTACATATTTGTGGACACCTTTTCTGTGAAGTTTGAAAGTTTAATTTGGCCATCAGGAGAGCCACTGTGGCTTTGAAATGACACCATTTGAATAAAAATTGAAGTAACTCATACATACATTCGACTAGCAAAAGCTCCACCTAAAGTTTATTTACCTATACAGTGAAAAACTTGGTGTCGTAAGTACTGATTAATTTAATTCATTAAGATCTCGACGAGAATACTAATTTAAGCAAATCAAATGGTATTAATGATATGTTCCCAGTAATAAAACAACTTTAATCCGTCATTCTTAGCAAAAAAAAACCGAAATAAATATGCTTATCGGTTAAAATCCGCTAAACGTTCTCATTTGTCATAATCTAATGTATGAGACTAGCAGTCGCACAAGCAGTCAAATGCATGTAATATTGGTTATAGATTTTACTAGGTATTAATTATTATTTTTCTCCAAGACTGAGGCAAGTTTATTCTGTGCTTGCCTAGTTGAGAACTGAATTTGTGTGGTTCTTCATTCGAGCCTACAACATCATTAGTATTTGCTGCTTCCTTTCGCAACAAACCATTTTTTCTTCCGCACTAAATTTCCCAGAACTCAATTTGTATTATTTTTCGAACTTCATGGTTACTGCAGGTCTTTTTTTTATCAGTACGCCTGAGAAACGTTTTCCTTCTTATGCGTTACTGTATATAATATTGCTTAATGTTGATAGATACATTATCTGTTGGTTATGTATTTCTTGAGGTATGTCGACTTCTTGATATTTTGCTATGTGACCTACTTTTCTAAAGAGTTGTTTATGAATTTTAATTTTCTGTGGTCTATGGACTTACTCTGAAGTCAAATTATATATAGAATAGAATAGACTATTTACCTATAGAATCGATCGTTTTATTGAAAGAGTCAACTTCGTGGATAAGAACGACAATGGGCAGTGAAGACTTTTTCAGTGATCGTGCGGTTATTTCGTGTCAAGTTCAAATACGCGCAAAAAAAAAACTTTAAATGGACTTGAGTCGCGTTTCTTCTACTTGGATTTAATTGGACCGAGCCGGTTTGAAAGGAATTCGCCGGTGTGCTACCATAATTGGATCTTTTCAAAAAAATGTTGTTGTTCGTCTTCGTTTTGGTAGGAAAGTGTCATGCAATAATCGAGTCGCACTTGACGGTGGGTGTCAAGTTCATTATCCGTAGACGTATTATCCTCGCGTCTGACGCAACAGAGGATGCAAGAATCTGCATAATTATGGCTTTGATGGGTCAAGGCTTCTTGTATATTTAATATAAAGTAAATGTGTACCTATCTGATATTTAAGTAAATAACTAACTTTAGAACTCCGAAAATAAGTTTCTTTAAAAATTATAAAATATCAGGAAAGCCATGTTTGTCTCTTCTGAACAAATCATAGACCTAATCTCCTGTGGAAGTGTAAGTGACAAAAATTACCTATAAGTTACCATATCGAGTTCTTTTTAATTCGAAGATAATCTGTATGTATATTCGGTGGAATATAGCGGTTTGGTTAGTTTTTGCTCATTTCTAAACTAAAGAGAAAAACAAATGTCACAAACTAAAACATTACTTGCCGTTTATTTTAGATTAACTGTTAACGCGAAAATATGTCTCATGAAGCATTTGCATAAAGCGAATAGTAAAAGCAAAAGCATAATCTACACTTAAACGAGTCCTGTCGCGAAAGCTGCCTGATGATCCTGAGTATCAAAACAGCCTGAGGGAAATAATTGGAATTCAACAGAGTAATATATCAAAAAATAATTGCTGATGTGACGGATACAGTCTGGTCTAAAGCAATTTGGATCAAGTTTGCAAAATGTTGGTAATTTGCCACAATTGGAGTTTTGGATTGCACACATATCCGTATTCGAAAGCCTCAATTTACTTACGAAATAGAGCCCGTTGCTTTCCAATACACTATTAACTTCGAGTAAAACTTCAAGGCATTCCCCAAATAGTGTGCTGCGGCATTCGGCTCCTCCTTCTTCGTCTTCGTCACCAAAAAAATGATTGACTAACCAATGCATGTTTGCTTCTTTGAAACTATGAAGTTGTCTAAAATCAATTGTTGCTGTTTCGCTGTATGCGAATATTGCAACTGCAACTGCAACCTTTAGAACGGACAATCATTTTCTTCTAGTAAGAAAAGCGTATGTTTATTTGTTTAGGGCGGAGCATATGCTTATTCTTCTTAAAGTTGCCTATTCTGCGGACATAAGACTGTATGGCAATTTTCGTACAGCTCACGGCGACTCGCTGGCGTTTCTCTGGAGATTGACTATGCATACCGGCCTAAGACTTTGTCGAAAATCTCTATATAGGGTGTCGTTGTGGGCCAGACATTAGTTTTGACGCGCATTCGCAAAAAGTAACTTACCGTATGTGCGTTCGAAAACAATAGAGCCTACTGATTTAACGATAGATAAATTCCACCGTACGTGACGTTGAATCAAGATACGCCGGAAGTTCTCGCGCGCTCGTTGAAGGACAGAATAAATTATACGGAAAAAGAATATAATGGGTGCTGGGACGGATATCTTTGTACTTTATGTACGAAAATATTTGTTGTTACAGCCGGGGCGTTTTGTCGGACATGTATTGTGCCCATATGTCGGCGAAAATTACTATTTTCGTGATAAGTTGTTTGACAGATTCCCGTCAATGATTTTTACATTATTGGGTGTTGTTTGTACAACGTGTCCCTTAATGATGTGCCAATGTTGAAGGGGGTATTGCGTAAAATAATACCCAGTGGATTTTGAGATTATAGAAATATTTAATTTCTCTGTCTTTTAAGAAGAACGCACTCGGGGAGGTTTTAGCGCAACTTACTATAGACTGTATATACAATCATATTTTAAAACGCTTTTAAAGCAAACATTTGGACGAGGCAGCACGCTTTGTACACAGTAATTTCATTCATAAGGTCACGAAGTTCCTTCGTTATTTTTATTTAAACATAAACACACCGAGCCGACAGAGATTTAAAACCAAGGAACTCCTAAATTATTTTTTGTAAATATTCTAACAATTCCTGAGCTCAAGTAAAAAAAAAAACATTTATGAACATATATTCTTAACGTCGAAACTTTAATGTCGATCTTTGTTCTTAAATGTTTTTTTCATGTTTTGGTTTCTTCAAGTCGTTTCCCCATATTTTTTGTCAATATGGTGAGTTAGAAGCTAGTTTCATTTATCCCAATACAATAGTGCCTCAAGAGATGGACAAACTTTTCCTAATATTCATCAATAGAAGCATTGCAAACAAATCTACGAACATCGGAGAGCTGAACATATTTGTCATCAAATTGTTTGGCGGATTCTAATAGATTTTTTTGTTACTTCGGTATCATTTCTAAAATCGCAGTCTAAACTTCTGTCGATGGTACCTTTGGAATGCTATTCATAATAATCATGTGGCGGGGGAAGAAAACTCCCATGACGTAACAGAAAACCATTTTTCGTTTAATGTTTTAAGAGGAACTATTAGTAATCATGCAACAGGTCCACTTTTTTCTACCATGATACATTGACGGAATTATGTCGATTGCTCGCCAATTGCATGTTAAGTGACCACCATTTGTAATAATTTTTATAATAATAGTAGTAGCATAAAATTAAAATTTAACCATTCTTATGAAGTTTCTGAATTTTTTTCTTTAAAATTAATTACTCTAATTAGCAAGGTGTGAATTAATTCGGAACAAAAGAAACTATTGTTTCAAACTCCAATATGACTTCAAGAAAAAAATTGATAAACATGATTTTCTAAATTAGAAAACGCGAAAATATGTGTAGAATATGTGGGTTACTATTCAATATTTGCAAAAATGTGTTACGTGCTGTAAAAAAGAAATAGGATTGGACGCTTGAACACAAAAGCCATTTAATTTAAAAATAAAATTTTTAAGTTTTTTAATGGGTCTTTAATACTGTTATTTGCCTTCATTGCCTTCCACAGCAGTTTGCATAATATTACATGTTTGTGTCCTGTATTTGGTATCCAAAATATACCTGGTGCCAGATCTCCAACAAAGAGTACCCTAAAATTCAGTAAACCAAATTAGAACGTACCAAGAATATGTATAATAAGTATATTCTAATCAACAAACGTGACAGTTTTAGAGATTCTAATACATGTATGCGTAATTTGTCTTCTACAAGCACTCTAATATTTATTTCTCGTGTGTTTTTATCTTTGGTATATAATATAATATATAATAAATGTTATAGCTTCAAGTATTACCATTTATTAATTTCAGTATTAGTTGTAGAATTTTTTTTGTGTTTCATCAGCTTGGCGAGGAAACCAAAGAGCTATTTGATTTTGTCATATCCCTATTGTTAAAAAAATGATTTGTTATTTTATCTTCTAATTTATCTATGCTTTTGCATTCATAAAAGCTATATTCTGTGTAAATCTTCGACGGACATCGCTAATGGACGAATGATTCGAGCAGTCGTGTCCAACTTGGTGTGAAACGTAAAAGAAGCTACGTCCAGCGCTGCGGTAACTAATTATATTTTGCGCCGCGTAGAAATTCACAGAAATCAGTTGCTAAAAAGTCATTTTTTTTTAATTTTGATAATAAATTTAGCGAATACAATCAAATTTTTATCCCTCCCCTTTCCAGGGGTGGCACGCACTGTAATCTTGAAGACAAAAATTTTAAAAAGTAGCACTCTCATGAAACGGTTGCCGCTGGTCTAGCGTATGTTATTTTTTAATTTAAGTATGCTTTTGCATACACAAAAATATAATTCTATGTAAACACCGGCTATGTCTAGCACTGGCAACATTGTCTCTCAAAATTAAAAATT